AGTGGCTTAGGGACCCCTGGAGTCTGAGTTGCCTTTTAGACACCTAAAATTAGATGAGGTGGTCTCACCCTGACTTAGCTTCTCCCCTACTTTCATCAGAGTCTGTTTTCTTTGGGGGAATTTTAATTCCATTTTGAACGATTGTGGTGTTCTGAGATGAAAACTTGAGCCTAACCCTTCTGCCTGAGCCTGGGGAGGGCTGGGAGCTCTGCAGTACTCTCAGGGAGTTGTTAAATCTGAGCAGGGATTTACATTTATTATTGGGTATTCTTTGCCACGTGGAGTCACAGGGATAGTGGAGTAGCCCAACTTCCTGAGTCTTAAATTCCTTGTGTTACTAAAATGTACCCAGCCCCTAAATATGCATTTACTGAAGTTTTGCCAACGTGGTATCAACTTCAAATACACCAGTAAAGCTCTTGGGCACCTTACCCAGGTTTTAAATGAATCCAAGCTCAGAAGGGCATTCAGGCAGTGTTGGGGTCCATGGGAGAAGCTTTTCCTGCTGCATCTGGCATGGGGGATGCCTAAAGGAACTTTGAAAAGACTGGGATGCTTCTAATTAATAAGGTTACACTTCATGGATGCAGGCTAGAACTTCCTACCTTTTATTTCTTTTTAATTAAAGAAAGGATGGTTATAGATTAAAAATCAGTGAGTGAGTTGGAGAGAAAACGGAATGTGGAGAAAACGTTGTTTTGACCTACTTAGAAGGGATGAATGCTGTAAAGTCACAAAGTTTTAGAGAAATAAAAACTTTGGTTTTATAATTCCCTTGCACTTGCAGCACAGGAGTAGAAAAGCTGCTGAACAGCGTTTTCAAGGAGAGAACTCACTGCCACGAGGTGTATTTGAAACGAGGATTTTAGCAGGTTTTCAGTGAAGCTTTTTTTGGGGAATGAAAGAGGGGGGATGGAAAGGTCACCTCAGGAAGAAGTGTTTCTTTAGGTGTCTGGAGCTGTTGAAGAGCTTCTGTGGGCTGTTTGATTCAGTATTGTCATTGGGAGGCTCCTGCTGGCTCTGGTTTGTGTTCCCATCCTGTCTGTGGGCCAGAGTTCAGCCAGGGTGTGAAATATGTTGAGTAGTGCCTATTCAGCAGTGCTGTGCAGGTGCCCTTGGTGAGCCTGGGATGGCAATTCCTGTTTTCCTGGTACCAGATCAGGTGTCTTGGTTGGGAAAACCCGACCAGCTCACTTGAGTTGCCATAAAAATTGTGATGCAGGTCTTGGCATAAACTGATTCTCCATGGGCAGCACTTCAATTTGTGTTTGAAATGGGGATGATGGGCTGGTGCCTCTTGCAGGAGCTCCGTGTGTAGGGAACAATGCAATTCCAAACTGTTCAGGGGTTTGTTTTAGTGCTGCCAGAAGAGGCAGTGGGAGAATGGAGGGGTTTTATCCCAAAGAAAGGGAGGGTCCTGCTTGCAGTGTCTCAGGCTCAGGCTGGAGGGAAGCATGGTTTCTCTTCCTGCTCAGTCCTTGGCCTCTGCTGTGAAGTTCCATATCTCTGTTTCTTCAAACCTCTGATGACACAAGGTTTGGAAGGCTGGTCCCACTTCCACAGTCAATCAGGTTGCATTTCACAAAAAGGGAAATAAGTGTGTGTGTGATTTTAATTTTAGCTCCATGGATTTTTCACAAAGTCTGTGATGCTTTCTGGGGTAATGCAGTTACTTTTTCCCTAGGGCAGTGCTCTAATTCACATTGTTTTGGTTCCTTTCATGGCAGGTGGAGCAATTCTCGCCCTCTGCTTTCTCAGTTTATCTCATAGTCAGCCACTGAAGTTATTTGACTGCTCTGGTGGGAGAACACAGTGTTTAAATCAACAAATCTTGAAGGCTTCATTCAGCCAGGTGCCTAAAGCTGAGGTCTAGAAACTTCCAGCTGTGGTTGGAGAGCTGACTTTTTGTTGCTTTGCATTTATTTTCCTGGCACTGACTTTGCTGCAATAATTGCTTAAATGGCCTTTTAAAGACCCTGAATGCAGAAAGAGAAACAAGAATTGAAAGAATAAAGGCATAGCTGTGGCTCCCTCTGCCCACAGCTTTTCAAATGGTTAAATAAAACAGTGAAAAAAGGAGCACTTTACCTTCTCCCAGAGTTTTTGCTATCAAAAACAAACCCTTGTGCCTCTTTCTGTACTCAGGGAGGTCTGTGTGGTGTGAGAGGGAGCAGGTGGAGGTGATAACTTTGGATCCTGCTTGGAGAGCCCTCAGTCACTGCTCCTGCTGGTGAGGTTTGTGTCTCTGTGTGCTCCTGCACTGGGGAGCAATTTTTGGATGTTCTGGAGCTCTCTCTGGAGGCTGTGAGCCAGCAGAACCCACATGGGAGGCAATCCCAGGCTGGAATTAGGGGGAATGGATCTCTTAGTGCAGTGTCTCATCAGGAAAAATGGCCAGAGCTCATCCCCAGGGCAGAGTGACCACTCAGGGTTTGGAGAGACTTTCCAGATACATCAGCAAACAATGCTTTGTGTCCAACATCTGTGGCTGTCAGCTGGAAATCAGGAGCATCAGAGAAACTGTCCCCTTCTTAATTGATGGATAGTCTGAAGCTGGAGGAGTCAGATGCTCCAAGAGGCCCTTGAGACACCCCTGGGCAGAGCCTGGTGTGAGTCCAGCACTGACCCTGTGTCCAGCCAGGGGTTAGATTGGATGGTTCACGTGTACTGACCAGGCCTAAGAAGACTTTCAGTTTGCTGGAAACATCTTTAAATCTCAGATGGGCACCAAAACCCAGGAAGTTTAGGGAAAAATAAGATTGTTTGAGATACTGGAATGCATCACTTTTAGAATCTAGAGCTGCCAGTGCTGTTTGGGCAGGAATTGTACCCAAATCTTTCAGGACAATGCAGTGGGAAGGAGATATTAAATATCAGGGAAAGGTTCTTCCCCCAGAGGTGCTGGCACTGCCCAGGCTTCCCAGGGAATGGGCAGAGCCCCAAGGCTGCCAGAGCTCCAGGAGTGTGGGTTTGTTGGGGTGTCTGTGCAGGGCCAGGAGTTGAACTTGGATGATCCTGGTGGCCTTCTCCAGTTCAGGATATTCTGTGATTCCATGATTAAGATGGACTAAAAAATGCATTTTAAAAGGGTAGAAAAAGGGGGAGATTTTTTTTTTTTTCCCAATGGAAATGAAAAAAGAATTTGGGTGGGTTTTGGGAAGGGCTGTTCTGGTGAGCTGGGTGCTGCTGGGTCTCCTCCCTGCTGGCCTTTGTAGGGAGCTGCTTGTGCTTGGAGCTGGTCCAGGCCCACTGGACTTGTCGTCACAGAATCCTGGTGGTCCTTCATGAGCTAGCCTGGCACCAGGTTCCTGCCAGGTCAGAAGAGACATTTGTCTCAGAGGCAGCTGAGGGAGCTGGGAAGGGGCTCAGCCTGGAGAAAAGGGGGATCAGGGGGGACCTTGTGGCTCTGCACAGCTCCTGACAGGAGGGGACAGCCGGGGGGTCGGGCTCTGCTCCCAGGGAACAGGGACAGGAGCAGAGGGAACGGCCTCGGGGGCACTCAGGGTGGATATCAGCAGGAATTTCTTCATTGGAAGGAACTGCTCAAGGCAGTTTGGAGTTTCCATCCCTGGAGGTGTCCAAGGAACACCTGGAGGTGGCACTCAGTGCTCTGGGCTGGGTGATGAGGTGGGGATTGGTCACAGGTTGGACTCAATGGTCTTGGGGGTTTTTCCAGCCTTGATTCTGGGATTCAGAATGTTGTTCAGAATGTTGTTCTCCTTGCCTGTTTGTGCTCCGAGGGCAGTGTGAAATGAGGTGCTGGTACCCAGTGGTCTGGCTGTTCCTCCAGTGTGACTCCAGCCTCTTTGGATCCTGTAGGTGAAAATTGCTTTGATGGGAGCTGGTTTGAATCAATCCCCCCTGCTCTGACAGAGCTCTCCCTGTACTTCTCGTGTTGCTTTTCATAACTGTCTGCTCTCTGGAGGGAAAACAAGCCGAGGAATCCCTAACAGCAGGTTGATGTAATCACTGCACTGAGCTGCCAGTGAATTGTTATCACTCCTGGTTGCCTGGGGAGCTGCTGGGTTGTCATGTCAGAAAGTTTTTCTGCAAGTACGTGACATTCGTAGTCGGATTTTTCAGCTTGGATTTGAAATCTTTGATGGGACGAAGTCATTGATGGAGGAGCAGGGAAATGTTTGGAAGGGAAGGAAAAGGAATGTTTTATATGGACATTGTTGTGTGTGAGCTTTGTCAGGCTGCAAAAATCTTGCTGCATTTGAATCACAGAATTATTTTAGGTAAAAATGCATTTACCACACTTCACTTCTGTGTTTACTCCTGCTGTTACCTCTGAAATGACACCATGAATCCTAGTCCTGTTGTGCCTGGTCGCGCTGAAAGAGCCAATTCCCACTGAAGAATGTTCCCAGGAGAGCTGAGATAGCCAGGGAGTTATTCCTTGTGGTGTTCTCTGCAGCAGCAGAGCCCTGATGTGGACATTGGGCTGCTGGGCTGTGTGTGGGCCATAAAAGCTCACTGGGACAGCCCTACCAGCAAAGCTTTTCCATGTCAGACTTGCTTTGGGAAGGGCTTTGCCAGGGATCCAGATGCAAGATGGGGAAGAGTTTTGTTTGCCAGGTGAGGTGTTGACATATGGTGCAATAAATGCAGTTATTGGAACAGCCAGAGATGATATTTACCTTGAAAAATCCATTGTTGGGAATAAATGGCCACATCTGCAGCTGAGGCTAGTGGGAGTAAGTGCACTGCTGTCACCTGGGCCACCCACCCCAGATGTCACCGTGTGAGGATCCAGGTGAGTGAGGGAACAGCCTGACACCCAGTGCTGTGCTTTAGTTGATGTGGTGGTGGTTGATCCATGGTTGGATGATCCTAGAGGTCTTTCCCAACTCTAAATATTCTGGGATTCTGTAATTTACACCAGGCTGGAGGAGAGGGTTGTTCTTACACTGTGAGTAGCTGTACTTGGAGTACACCTTGGGAGTTTCAACACCACTTGTGACCCTTTTCTCCTCTCTTCCTCCCTCTCCCTCCAGGGTTTAATGCCATGGCTGCAGATGAAAGCGCTACAGAAAAGCAAGTGGGGGAACCAAAAATGGCAGTAGATGGTGAAACCAACGGTTCCTGTGAGCACAGCGAGGGTGGGGCCCACCCAAACCCAGCGAAAAACACTCAGGACAGCACAAAAGTGAGCCAGCAGGACTCTACTACTAAATTAAATAGGATAGCAGAAAATGGCATTTCGGACAGCGAGCCTGGGAAGCAAAACCATCTGAAAGCAAATGACTTCACACAGACTTCTGTCACAGGGAGCAATGGATATATCCTAACCAAGCAGATGGCACAGGAGCAGCCTCTAAGGACTACCAGCTTTGCTTCTCTCGCTGGCCATGCTGCAAAAACCCTGCCAGGAGGAGCAGGCAAAGGCAGGACTGTGGGGTCCTTTGCCCAGCTCCAAGCCACCATGCCAAGCAAGCTCGGGGAGGGCAGTAAGGACACGGATGCTAAAAAAGCCCCTGCTGCTAACGCTGAAGTCAAGGTCCACCGAGCACGGAAGACAATGCCTAAGCCCACCCCCAGCCTGGTAATGTACCTGCCCAGCACAGAGCTGCTGCTGGGCTTGCTCTGGGCTTTCTCTGGGGGTCTGAGGGATACCTGGCTGCATGGCAACATGTGGTGTTTAGAGCTTGCCTGCTGAGTGGATTGGTGTTTTTATTATTTTTTATTTTTTAATATGTGTTTAACATTTTTTAATGTGTTTATTTTATTTTTTTTTCTCTTCCTACAGACAGAGGTGTTAAAATAGTTGGTCACATGGCCACCATCAGCTCTTGTCCTCAGTGTGTTTCTAAATATATAATTGATCAATTGCCTCCTCCAACAGATCTGTGTGAGACACTAAATGGCCTTTCTCTCATGGCTCTATTGCTCATCAGCCTCTGCTGACATCCAGAGCTGCTTGTGAAACAAATTAGATTTCTCCTAAGGTCAACCCAAAGGAAAGTAAGCATAGCATGTAAACTTGAGGCTCCTCCTAAGCTCAGAAGCTGTCAAGGAGCTGCTGATTTGTGAGGCAGCTTGATTGCATTGCTGTAAGAATCATTACAGGGCTAAAACAGATGATGTTTTCACTCCATGTCATTGGGAAATGTCTCCAGAATGCTTAGGGTGGATTTACCATCACTTAATAAAGCAGAGCCCTGCTTTTTTTTTTTTTTTTTTTTTTGGAGGCATAAGGAGATGTCATTTGGTGCATTCATGTCATCGTGGGGAGGACAGAAATGGGTTTTTCCTTGTCATGGGACAAGTTTGGTTAGTTTTTGGTTCTTTGGCAGAGGTAGGGAATAGATCCTGCAACAAGGCAGATCTCCACTGTAAGCAGCTGGTTTTCATTCCTGTGATGCTTTATATGACTACAGTGAGCTGTATCCTCTCATTGTGTGTCTGAGGGTGGAGGGACACTGGCCTTTAGGTCAAGGGAAGGGTTAGCCATGGGAGTCATTCCCAGAAATGCATGGAAGCTGCTGCAGCCTTGTAAAGGTCGGTGCAATGCATTGGTGCTGTGATCCAGCAGATCCACAGGGACTCTCAGATGTCCCCCTCATCTCAGCACAGCAAGGGTGAGGGGCTCAAAGCTGGGAGTCCCTGTGGTCTGGAGCAGGGAAAGAGAGAGAAAAAAGGGAAAAAGAGAGGGTGGCACCTCAGCAGCCCCAGATGGGAGAAGGTCCCGTGGCTGCAGCACCACCTGTGCCTCGGGAAGCAGCTGGGAGTGCAAAGAGCACAGCAGGATCACAGACTGTGGGCACCAGGCTGGGGAGAGGGGCAGAAGCCACAGCTGCCTGCCAGGATTTCCAGCCAGCCCCCCTAACCACTCATTTCCCCTCTGCCTTGCCCTGGCTGCGTTTGAATTCTCTGCTCTCACCCCAGCTGTGTTTCCTGGCTTGCACAGGGAAGCCCAGCTGCCAGCAATCTCCCATCACGGTGTCTCTTACCCAAGGAAAGCTTGGCAGCCCAAACTGCCTCCAGCCCCCAGTTCTGCACTGGAATTAGGCCAAGCAAAGCCCCAGACCCTGATGGAATTTATCAGAGAGAGATCCCATGGGGCTGAGCAATTGAAAGAGGCAATTCCTTCCTAAAAGGTGACTGCTAGGTTGGGAGGGAGTGCTTCCCTCATTCATATTTTATGATAAATCAGAAGAATATTTGTATTCAACCCCTTGGGCTTCGAGGTTTGTCTCTGGGAAGTGGCATGAGGTGTTTGGGAGTGCTGGGACACAGCTCACTGGGATGGGGCTGCTGAGCCTTCTTTGCTCACACCACAAAAGCAGCTTCAAAAAACCAAAGCCTGCACTTGTTGGGCTGCTCTAGAAAGTACATAGCCCGTCCTCAGCTCCTCTGGGCATTAGCCTTGGGCTTAAAATAGGGAGAGAAGCAACGTTCCCAGGAAGGGTGGTGAGGAGAGGCTGTTCCCATGTTCTCTGCTCAAGCCTCTGCAGCTGAATGGGAACCCAAGATTTGATCTCAGTTCTACAAGACAATAAAACATCTGTGTGTTCAGCCTTCCTGATAATTACTACCTCATTTTCCCCCATTGTCTCTGGAATTTACATGCTCTTTTCTTTGGAGCAGTAGAGTCCTTGCTTGCTGCCATTTTTCTGTCCCAATTATTTCTTTGTTGAGCTGCTTAGAGGAGACTCCTCAGCTTAGGAGCTTTTCCTGTACCAACCTTCACACCTTCTCCCCTTCAAAACCTCCATGAAACAGGTGCTGTATCCCAGGAAGTAAATTGTGGAAATCACCCAGGAACTGATATTACAGGACACAGTAGCTTGCTTGGCTAATATTTTTTAGGGCATTGTTGTTTTCTTGGTGAAACTATTCTTGCAGAACTGTTCTGCCTGGGAGGAGGAGGGGAAAAAGGTGTTTTGATGCCTGCAAAGTGTGAACATTTGTTCCCCCTGGCTCCGCAGAAACCCACTGGGGCCAAAAAATTGTTTTCTGTAATCCAGTAGCTGTCAGGGGACCGTGGTAACCTTTTCCTGCACATGTGAATTGGTCTCTGAAAGGAAGAAGAGACTTTTCTCACCAATTTAACCAGCTTTTTCTCTGTTTAGGAGTTGCTTCCTGAATTGGGATCGAAGCTGAATCTGAAACAGGTGACAATTTTAATTGATGTTGTCGCATGTTAAGGTGATTTTTGTACAGAGAGCATCATTCCTGCTCCCCTTCTGAATAGAGCAGTAACACAAGCACTGCCCTTTCGGAAGAAACTTTCTTTCACTCCTAATCCATTTTACAGCCCTGTTAAGAACCCGAAAGTTTCCAGGGCCAGGCAGCAGACTGAAAGGCAAGTGTGTGTCTGTATGTGTGTCCTGTGCTGAGCTTAACTTCAGTAAAACATAAGGATAAAGGATGGTAAAGGTAGTGAGAGCATCCCAGAGTTAGCTTTGGAGACAGGAGAAGCAGATGGATTAATTGGAAGTCCCAGGTTGTGTTTCCTTTCCTTGGTGACCACAAGGCTGGAGTTTGGGGTGTGTGTCTTTGGTGGTATTTTTTATTGCTGTGCAGAGGACTGGGTCAGGAAATAGTGCAAAAATCCTTTAAATGAGTGTTTTGGCCCGATTCACAGTGTGTCCCCAAAATGCCAGGTGCCAGTTTAACTGGGGGAGGCAATGTGGGCAGGGAGGAAGAGCTTGGAGCAGGAGATGCTTTTCTTATGTTGGTCTTCCTACCAATTTCATTAAACTATTCCCTTAAGTAGCATTGCCATTAAATACCTGATCCCAGAGCTTTTAAACTGCCTCCTTTGTGGTGCTGCTGTGCTGGCCTGGGCTGGGGCTGCTCTGCAGGAGCCTCTGGCTTAGAGAACACCCTGTGGCCATCTCCTGGGGCCGTGCAGGTGGCAGCCCGGGCATTGCAGGGGTCTGGGATTGCTCAGCAAGCTCTGACCCTCCCATGTGCAGGAAACATAAAGCAAAGGGGCAGGGCCTGATGGGGGTGATGATAATGAGGATATTGTGTCCTTGGGGAGGACTTGGAAGGTCCATCCAGGACCCTCTCCAGAGATGCTCCACTGGATTGAAAGAGTGAATCTGTGTGTGTGAACTTGGGCAGAGTTAAATATGGAATCACAGAATCTCCTGAGCTGGAAGGGACCCCAAGGATCACCCAGCCCAGCCCCTGTCCCTGCCCAGACCCCCCAAAATCCCACCCTGGGCACCCCTGGCAGCGCTGGCCAAAGGCTCCTGGAGCTCTGGCAGCCTCGGGGCCGTGCCCATTCCCTGGGCAGCCTGGGCAGTGCCAGCACCTCTGGGGGAAGAACCTTTCCTGCTCTCCAGCCTGAGCTGCCCTGGCCCAGCTCCAGCCGTTCCTGGCTCCTGTCCCTGTCCCAGAGCAGAGCTGGAGCTGCCCCTGGGGAGGAGCTGCAGCCCCCGGGGAGCTCTGCCCTCAGCCTGCCCCAGCTGAACCATCCCAGTGCCCTCAGCTGCTCCTCAGGGCCCCTCCAGACCCTGCCCCATCTTCCCTGGTGGGAAATCTCCTTTGGAGTGACAGTGCTGCCTTTGGGTTGCTGCAGAGGGAAGTGAGAGTGAAGGGTGTCGTGCAGTACATTTAACCTGATATTTAACTGCTTGTGCTGGTGCTGGAGGCGGCTGTGCTGGCTGGAGGTGCTGCCCCAGCTCTGACCACAGCCCACAGAAATAACAGCCCTGGCCCCAGCAGAGGGGTTGGTTAAAGTCAGGAGCCCTGGTGGCACATCTGCTCTGGGCTCCCCTCTTTCGTTTTGACTGATGTGTGACGCTCCCTTGCCTTGGGGCAGTTTGGTGCAGGAGGGGACAGGGATGAAATCCACAGCCCCGAGAGTGCTCTGCTTCAGAAACACGATTAGTGCAGGTTTGGGGCCACATCTACAGTTCAGCTCAGTCTACCTGGCTGCCTAAATCATGGTTTTATGTAGATATGTGACTGCATTCACATCAGTGCAATTGTAATCAAGTCACTGTGGAATCCCCCCTCTACTGGGCACATATTAATCAGCAGTTAAAAGGTGGCTCAGCCATGCAGCTGGCCTGGTCTAGACTAAGACCAAACCTTGCAGGTTTGTTGCTCCAAGCTGATCGCTTGGTTAGGCTCCTGAAATTCAGCAGTGAAAATGCAGAGCAGCACCACTGCAGCTCCTACAGGCACTATCACCTGCTTGTGATCAATTTTTTATAACAGACTGATATTTCTTGCTTAGCCACCACTCACCAGTTGTTAGAGGCAGATTCCCCTGGGAGCTGCTGCTTTGTGCTCTTCAAAGGCAGCACCTTGGTACAAATCTCCTGACCCTGTTCCTGATGGATGGAGAGGCAGAGCTGCTCCCTGGCAGCTGCCCTGTGGCAGTGCTGCTCAGCTCACCCCTCCTGCCCAGCTGGCTCTGGTTTGCAGCTCCTTGTGTGCTGGAGATGAAAGTCCTGCCCAGCAGAGAACCTAATCCAAGCCTGAGGTGGTTTCAGGCATCGAGAGCCCTTCTGCAGAGCTCTTAGAGCTGCCCTGCTCCCAGGCAGGACCTGTTCCTGTGTCCTTCCACCAACACTCTGGTTTCTCTCCCAGCTTGCTGGTTTTAGTGACAGAAAAACCCTTTAAATGCTGTCATGTGGAGTTTATAGAGCCAACACAAGGGTCCATTACTGAGGTTAATTTGTTCTGTACTTTTGCTTTCAGGGAAAAATCCAAAACAACTGAGGATATTCTGTCTTTTGCCATTTTAATAACTTCTCCCTGCTGCTGTCGGGGACTTCTGTGCCAATAATAGAAACGTGGTTGATCCCATTAAAATGTAGACAGCACTTGAGTTTTAATTTTTAAACGCATCAAATATCATGTTCTTGCCCCAATCTAAGCAGTTTTCTTGGCTGTATTTCTCACAGTGGGGTTGGACATAGTGGTGATGCCATTTTTGCTGTTTCCAGGTACAGCCATTGCTAGAAATGTTGGAATATCTGCCCACCTTCTTCACTATTCCCTATATGAAGTTGTGACTTGCCAGTCTTTTGAATAAGATGAGCTGATAGCACATGAGAAGCTGCAAGAAGGAAGATGTTGCTGTTGCAGTTCCTTTTTCTCTCTCATTTACAGTCCTTTCTTGGCCTCCAGTGGCCCATAACATGTGGCCACAGGGAGCTCAAACTGCATCTTGGAGTTTCCTTTGCATGGCATTCTGCTCTCAGTACTTCTCTCAAAGTGTGGACAAAACCTGTTTAATAAGAATAGCAAAGATGTGACTTTTATGTAGCTGAGAACCAGGAAAGGTGGTGAGAAAACTGACTTAAAAATTTGTGCTGATCCTTTTTATTATAATCCTTAGATGTAATAGTTTTATAAACACAAGAAATCTCTTCACCTCTTTCTGGGAATTCTTGATTTTTACCATTGCTGCATATGCCTCCAAGCAAATCTTTATAGCACTAGACTTAATTTGATTTAAAAAAACTTTTAGCAGAATTGCCATGAAAAAGTCACATTTAGCTGTTGTCGTGCAGCCTGTTGAAGATTTTGAATTTATTTCTGCGTTGTAATTATAGAGACTGAGACAAACCGCAAGCTAATAACATAATACTTTTAGATTTAAAAATTGGATTGTATTCTTCCACACAGCCTGGCATGACCCAAGTGTGAATTCCTGGTGTTTGGGAGTGACAGCACCTTTTGTCAGAGGCCAGTTGCAAAAAACTGCACTTAAAGGACAAAAAATGCAGCCTTTGTTTACACTTGTGCCAAACCTGCCTGTCCCAAGCTCATTTTCCTAATTTTAAGTTAGAATTGGAAAGCATTGGATATATCAGGGGACTTGGGAATTCTCAGAATAATTGTGTAGCCAAGAGTTACTGTTAACCTTTAGATCTATAAACTCAGGACTTTTAAGAGGTATAAATAGTATTGTTGAGACTATTCTTGGCATACTGTGCCCTGCACTCCTGACGTGCATTTTTAAGGGGTAGAACAACTGGGAGCAGACTCAGGAGTGATCCAGAATGTGATGCTATGGCCACTTAATTTGCTCATTCTATGAAAATTATTGAAGAGAAAGTTTAAAAAGAAAAAAAAGAAGTTGGTCATACTCCATAAGTATCTCCCGGGAGTGAGAGGTTCTGATGAGACAGGGATTTTTAATTCAGTTGCAAAAACATAACGCATTTAATTATTTGACAGTGAGAGCAATTAAGCATTGGAACAACATATCAAAGGCTGTGGTGGATTTGTCGTCTTTGAAATCATTAATCCAAGACTTGCTGCCCTTTTAGAAAAGCTGTGGCAATTGAGCCATAAGTTATGGGCTTGATGCAGGAATCATTGGCACTTTGATGGCCTTTTGCTGTGGGTCATTTCTGATTATCATTAGGGCTTTGCTGGGGCTGGCTCTGCCAGCACCACACACGTGGCACAGCCTAATTAGGGGAATCAGCCTCTTCCCTGTTTGTTCCCAAGGTCACATTGCTGGAGAGCTGTGGCTGGGCTGCCTGTCTGAACCTGAGTGCTTTTATTGCTTCCTGCTTTTTATTCCAGCCTTGCTTCTGCCTGCATTCCTCTTTCTGTTTGGGTTTTTCAGCTGGGGCTTCACAAGTCCTGTAAAGAAGAGTTCTGCAAGTAGAGCAACACTTAAACCTTAGAGTCATGGAATGGTTTGGGCTGGCAGGGGCCTTAAAGATCATCCAGTGCCACCCCTGCCACTGTCCCAGGCTGCTCCCAGCCCTGTCCAGCCCGGCCTTGGGCACTGCCAGGGATCCAGGGGCAGCCACAGCTGCTCTGGGCACCTGTGCCAGGGCCTGCCCACCCTCACAGGATTCCTAATTCTCAATATCCCATCTAACCCCATCACTTTTTTCAGTGTGAAGCCATTCCCCCTTGTTCTGGCACTCTGTGCCCTTGTGAAGAGTTTCTCTCTCTCTTGTAGCTCCTTCAGGTACTGGAAGGCCACTGTGGGGTCTCCTCAGAGCCTTCTCTTTTCCAGGCTGAGCAATCCAAACTCTCCCAGTCTTTCCTTGTGTTCTGCTGCTTGGTCTCTTGTTTTGCTGTAGCAGCTCTGCCAGACCTGCCTGCTGTACAGATGGATTCAGTGGGATAAATCAGAGGGCAAATCCAGTGTAAAACGGCACAGCAGAGGCAGCTTTCACCCCAATGTCTGCTGGCACTGCGGGAGAGAGGAACAAGCAGAGACTTTGTTTCATGTTCCTCCATGTGTTTCCTTGTCTCACAAGGTACATCCTTGCTGGGCTGTGACAGGAAAATGTTTCAGTGAACTGGACTAAGGGACCTTGCCCTGACCTTGCCTTCCCTTTGCCACACTTGACACAAAAGGCACAGGAATAAAAGCACCATCAAACCAAGCCATGGCTGTTTAAAGAATAAACACAGATGGGAAAAGGAAACACAAACACAGTCTGGACCGCTCTGTCTGAGGCTTTTAGAGTATATAAAATGGAGTTAGACACACAGGAAGGGGATTGTTTCCTAAATTAGAGGAGGAAAACATTGAAGTAACATCAAAAGCTGAGAAATGGCACTCAGGGACATGGCTAAGTGGTGGGCTTGGTACTGCTGGGTTAATGGTTGGACTTGGTGACCTTAAAGGCCTTGTCCAACCTAGATGATTCTCTGTGAGCTGTAGGAACCCTTCTTTCATAACCAAAGGTGCAGGATTTGACTTTGCTTTGGGAACAGGCTCAAGTCAGAGCAGGTGTGAGTGGCTGTGGTGCCTGGGAGGGGCTGCAAGAGCGACTACAAAATTCCCTTGGTTTGCAGTAGGAGCCTGGAGCCTGCCTGGGGCCTGGAATAGCAGCAGCTGGAGTGGGAATGGGGGGTTAAGGGAAGCTTGGACAGGTCTCTGTAGATGCCCCTCAGTGTCAAGGAAACAGCTGCTTTGGCTGTGGTTGTTGTGTGCTGGGCTGGAAGGGGGAGCCTTTGCTGAGGCTCTGTGGTGCCAAATGCTGCCCAAAAGGAAAAATCCATTTCCTTTGCTGCCTGCTCCTCTAGAACAGCTCTGCAGGAGTGTTGCTGAGTGTGCTTGGTGTGACAGGGAATAAGTGCTGTGGTTGAGTTGGATCCTCTTCTCCAGAGGCAGCCAGAGCTGTGTGAGCAGGGTCTGCTCCTTGTCACTGCCTCTGTGAGGTCACCTGTCACCTGCACAGCCTTCAGCCCTGGGGAGTCACTCAGCCAGGCTGGGGGTGTTTGGGCAAAGCCCCCTGACGTGCTGGAGGAGGGGCTGTGTGCTCCTGCTGGGAATGTGGTCCTGCCTTCAGATGAAAGGCATTTTGGTCGAGAGAAATGAATTATATTAATTGATTTCCTAAATTTTTAAAATTACTTATTCAATGTAAAAACTCAATTTAACTGCCTTTTGTTTTCCAGCATGTAAGTAAAGACCCCAAAGATGGGAGAGACAGCAGAGATCAGAAGGAATCCAAGGAGAAGGAGTTTGAGAACATGCTGGACTTTGTGAAGCCCTTGTCGTTGCCCTCTCTCCCGGGCCTTCACCAGTCACTACCTCAGAACCAGAGCTATGTGGCCACCACCAAGTCGCAGACAGGTAAAAAGGGAAGGGCTGGAATGTTGGAGTCCTGAGCAGCTCTCACCTCCCAAACCTGTGTGTGGGGTTGAGAGGGAGATGAGGAGGTTAACAAGGATTAAAAGTCTGGTAGTACCTTTCTGCCACTCCTCCAGGACTCCCTTCCCTTTTTTCTACTAAAAGCTTTTCTTAGAGGAGACACATTGATCTTTTTTTCCTCTGGGATGTTCTGAAGAGGTTTCTATCAATTCTGTAGGGCTTTGAATATCCCCGCAGCTGCTTACCAAGAATTACAACCTTATAAATAAAATTAATTGGGTTCACAGAATTTTTTAGCAGTCTCTTAATAAATTCTGGTGAAATTTCCTTACCATGGAAGATGGAAAAATGCTTCCAAGGAATGGGCTGTGCAAGTGAAAACAGTAACAGTGGTGTTGAAGCTGCCTGTTCCTAAAAGAGCCTGCACAGAGCATCCTTCTGCTGTGCAGTCACCTAAGTCAGCAGCAGGCAGGGAGCTGCAATGTCTGGTTTGATTAGAAGGCCAAGAGGGAGACTTAACAAATTAAGACCCAATCACAGGAGTGAAAGGCATCAAAGAGATTTCCATAGTAGGTGTGAAATGAGGTTAAATGGCAAACAGCTCTTTATGTAAGGTGTCTTTTCCCTGTGTGTTCTCCAGTTATTGTCAGATTGCTTCCATTGTCAGTCAGTATTGTTGGCCTTGCAGTCTCAGTTTGAGCAATTGGATTCCATTCAGCCTCCTACAACATCAGCAGCACTGCCAAATGCAGGATAATTTAAGGATTTGATGCTGTGTGTGCTGATGGAGGGGCAGAAGTGGAGTGTGCAGAGGGCACTCAGAGTTTGGGCAGCTCTGCAGCCCTGGCAGGAAGCTGTCTGTGTCTGCACATCCGCGTGTCATCTTCTGCTTGACTGGTAAATAAATCTGTTGGAGTGGGAAGTTTTCCCAGGTCGCGCCCTCAGGTGTGATTTCATAGAATCACAGAAGGTTTGGGTTGGAATGGACCTTAGAGCCCACCCAGTGCCACCCCTGCCATGGCAGGGACACCTCCTACTGTCCCAGGTGCTCCCAGCCCTGTCCAGCCTGGCCTTGGGCACTGCCAGGGATCCAGGGGCAGCCACAGCTGCTCTGGGCACCTGTGCCAGGGCTGCCCACCCTCCCAGGGAACAATTCCCAATTCCCAATATCCCATCCATCCCTGCTCTCTGGCACTGGGAGCCATTCCCTGTGTCCTGTCACTCCAGGCCTTTGTCCAAAGTCCCTCTCCAGTGCAGCCCCTACTCTCTATCTCTTCCTTTCATTCCTGAGCAAACTTTGGGTTCCTTCTGCTTCTCTTTTCCAGCTGCTGCAGTATCTCGGAAGAAAAAACGGAGAATGGGAACCTATAGCCTGGTTCCCAAGAAAAAGACCAAAGTGTTAAAACAGAGAACAATGATAGAGATGTTTAAGAGCATAACTCATTCCTCTGTGGGTGCCAAGGTAAGGGCAGCACTGAGCCCACTGCACGTGTTTGTTGTCACTTACATGTCCCTTTTGTTGGACACCAAACCCATGTGGTGGTGCAGGGATGTGCTGGCTTGTTGGGATCAACATCTTCCCTTCTGAGTCTCCTCTTCCTTCTGGCAGCAGCTTCCTGCCCAGAGCAGCCTTGCTGCTTTGGGAATGACTGTTCCAGAGGGGCTGTTCAGGTAACAGCTCCTCAACAAACTTTTTCCAATGAATGTTCCCCTTCTGTCCTGTGAATCCTGGGCAACTGGAGAGATTTCAAGCATGCCCCTATTTGGCTTGGTCCTCAAGGTCTCGTGTTGCTGCCTGAGGCTGTACAGAAAAACACTTGGTTACTTATAAAAGTTTAGACATGGATTCACTCCTGATGAAATTCTGCTTTTGCTGCGACCTGTGTCCTGAAGTTTTGGTCTTAGAATTCAAGGAGAACAGTGCTAGGATTTCAAGGAGTGATATGAAAATCCCAGTGTGATGTAACTTCCCTTTCCATTCCCTTGAAACCTTCCTGCATCCCTGGTAGAGCTGCCCTTCCATGCTGGAATGGGGCTCTCCCCTAACACCCCATGCAACCATGTGAGTCTGGAATGACTCCTTGTGGTCCCCAGGTCCAGCAGGGTGAGGTGACACATGGCAGGAGCTCTGCAGGGACACAGAACCAGCTTTAGAGCTCCAAGCACAGAGGAGAATCTGGGATGATCCAGCTGCTCTGTCCCAGGAATTGATGTTGTCTTTGTGTCTCGTGTGCTTGGGCGACATCCAGAGTGACAAGGACCTGGGGGATAGCAGCCCCCACGTGAACGGTGAAAGCATAGATGTGGACTCTGAGGAGGAGGACTCGGATGAGTTGGAAGAGGAAGATGATCATGGAGCAGATCAGGCAGCCATGTTCCCCGTGGATGACAACAGGACCTCCAAGGACAGCGCGTCGGACGCAGACAACGCCAGGAAGGTGATGCCTGTGCCCTGAGCAGGGCCTGAGGAGCAGGATGGGGTGTCAGGGATAGGAGGGGCATGGATTGAAGCAATTTCTAGGGTTTTTTTCACCTGCAGGATGACAGAAGGATCAACAATGGTAGAGAGGCTCTTTGTGACCATTTCCTGCTTCCCATTGCATCTCTGAGGGTCTCCCCATCTCCCCCCCAGTTCCAGCCCTACAGTTCTGGGATCCACTCCACAAAACCTCCGCCACATGTAGTTCTGGGATTCCCTGAGCCAATAGGAGACATCTTCCCAATCTTGCTTGGGAAAGCACTAAAATAATCTAATTGTTTTTTTTTTCCCCCAATTTTGATATGCAATACAGGCATGAGGCTGGTTTGGGATTATCAAAGTAGTTGAAATTTAGTTGGAAGACTTTATTCTGGAGTGAATTTTTTTTTTTCTCTACCATCCCCTTGGGTGTTCCATGATGTGATTGGAATTCATTGAGCTCAGTGCATGTGCAGGCTGGGGCTGGGGCTGGGGTGCTCTGATATTTGTGGGGCACAGCAGGATGGTGGGGGTGCTCTGCTGGGATCACCAGGGTGGAGGGGGATTCTCTCTTCTGGGAGACCCGACCTGACTGACCCATTCTGTTCTTGGGCAAATGGTGGCTGCAGATCGATGATGGCGAGTCTGAGGAAGAGCAAGAGTCAGTAGAATCAGGGGAGGAGGAGGAGGATGGAGACGAGTCTGACTTGGTAAGCTGGGCTGCTAAATGTGTTTTTCAGCCCATGGCCTGTTGATAATAATTTTCCCCCTTTGCACTGCTGCCAGAAAGAGAGAGGGAGCAAAGCCAAAGCGGTGTAGTTTCAGGTCTCCTTGACAAAACTCATTCTCTGAAACCACCCACACACGGAGTATTGTTTTCCACAAGGTGCTTAACCCTGATCCGTGGCACAATTAATTACTTTCTGATGCTAACTAATGGGCTTTTGTTGTTTTCAACAAGGTGTTGACTGCTTTTAATCATTTGAATGTTAGCAGAGGTGTTTAAGGGTGCCTGAGTTCCTCAGATGCACAGTTGGCACCTGGTAGGAGCCAGCAGAGCTTTCTCACCAGCCCGAAGTTCTGCTGGGGTGGGGTTGTTCCCAGATCCACTGGCCCAGCCCACAGCCTAAATTCACTGTTCCTGGTGAGCAGCTCTTACCAGAGAGACAAACAGCACTCAGACAGACAGACAGACACTCTCCTCTCCCTGGGGCCTTGGTCATACAGCACCAGGTCAAGACTTTCAGCAGCTGCTGGGGATTTCTTCTTTTTATTTTTAGATGGTTGGTGAAGAGAACCTGATGATTTTTTAATTTAGATTGCTTGTTGAATATCTCTGTCTGCCTCCTTCCCCTTTCCTTAAAAACTGTCCTTCCACAGCCTCTCAAGTTGAGGAGCCAGCATTTCAGGCACCCAGCTCTTCAGTCACCTTGAGAAAATCCTTGATGTTTTGAGCTGAAGGTAGAATCATGCTCAAAAAACAGATCAGGTGAATCCCTGAAGCTCTTTAGGGTCTCGTTCCCCGTGCTCTGACACTGCAGCAGCCCAGGAGGAGCAGGGGTGTGCAGCCTGGTTATGTTTTGGGTGGCTCAGGCCAGTCTGTTGTGTTAGCCCAGACCAAGGCTTGGGCTGGAACTCACATCCAAACTCCCAGGTGGGATCTCCACATCCTGAACAGAGGTTTGAGCTCTGCTGGGTCACTCAGCTCCCAGACAGGACTGGCTCACACACAGTCCTCTCTCCCACAAGCAGAGCGATGCAGTTGGGGTAAAGCCACGTGCTGAGCCCACACTCAGGGGTTTTGGGGCAGCCCAGACACCCTGGAGAGCCAGAACTCAGCTCCATGTGTTCCCTCACTGGAACAGCAGAGCCTGGCACAGCTGCTGTGGAGGTGGGGCCTGATCCAGCTGCTGGTAGTGGTACCAGGAGGTTTTTCCAAGGCTTTGCTGACAGTTGGATAAGCATCAGGAGCTGGGAGTTTCAGTCTGAACATGAATTTTATGATTGATATATTAAACCCTGGCAAGGTTGAGGTGCCTCATTCCTGTTCTGATGTTGACTTTGAAACCCCACCCCAGACAACTGAATTTTTTTTAAACCAAAACCCAAAGTCTGTTGAGATTCATACGTGTGGCTGAGTATTTGCTGCATGATTGGTCTGTGCTGCCCTGTTCCTGGCTCAGGGAGGGGGCTGCTCTGCTGCTCTGGAGTTCAGTTCCCCTGGGTCCACTCCAGCCCTGCCAGGTGGCCCTTCAAGTGCAAAGTGTTTTTTTTTTGTGGAGAAACATGAATATTTTAGTTTGAAAACCCAACTGCCAGAGCTCAAGAGGCGTTGGAACAACCCTCTGAGGCACAGGGTGGGGTGTTTGTTCAGAACCAGGAGCTGGACTTGGTGGTCTTTGTGGGTCCCTTACAGCTCAGGATACTCCGTGATTATTTTTTGGGAGAAGCTGGAAGTGTACACGTGCCTGCCCACTTGCAGTGCTGCTCACGAGCGTGGTGTGAGGGCCTCCATGGAAGAGAAAGTGCAGCCTGCCCTGCTGAACAGACAGGAAATCCACCCACACGTGTGCCTGAGTTTCCTTTTCAGTGCTATAAAGGCATCTTAGCACCCCTTGGTTTCAAAGCCCTGGTCCTTCTCACACAGCTCGAGCTGGGTGAGGGCTGTTCCACAAAGGGACCCTGGTGCCACCATGCCTGACGTGCACGTGGCCTCTCTGGTTCTTCAGAGCTCCGAGTCCAGTGTCAAGAAGAAGCTGCTGAAGAGGAAAGGGAAGACGGACAGTCCATGGCTGAAACCCACCCGCAAGAGGAGGCGGAGGAATAAAAAGAAACAAGGCGGTGTGCTAGGTAATTAAAGGGGTTTTGTTCCTAAATCCCACCCCAGGAGCCTCCCAGGTGTAGGGGGAAGGATCTGAGGCCTGTAAGTCTGCAGTCTCACTCTTCCTTCCTGAGGCTGGGCTGTGATAAGCCAGGCTGTGAACTTGACCCTCACTGCCAGGAGCTGCTGGTGTCACTGTCACAGCAGAACTCGTGGCTTTGTCTTTGGAATGCTGGAGGAACTTCATTTTGTTCAGCAATCCATTTATTTCAGAGTATCCCAAAAAAGGCCCCATGGGGCTTACAAAAAAGGAGGAAGAGGAATTTTATATGGGGAGATAGTGACAGGACAAGGGGGAATGGCTTCAGACTGAAAGACAGGAAATTGATGTTATCTATACAGGAGAAATTTTTCCCTCTGAGGGTGGGGAGGCCCTGGCACAGGGGTGACTCCCCCTGGATCCCTGGTAGTGCCCAAGGCCAGGCTGGACAAGGCTTGGAGCAGGCTGGGCCAGTGGAAGGTGTCCCTGCCATGGCAGGGGTGGGAATGGGATGGGCTTTAAGGTCCCTTCCCACCCAGAGCAGTCTGGGCTTGTGTGACGTGTCCATGTGGACTCCTGTCCCATGAGCCCAAGGAGCATGTTTAGATGCAGAAGGAGAAGAAAGAACCACCCTGGAATGGTGCTCCATTGCTGTTGTGTGGGTGCTGGAATGTGCAGCTTGGCTTTGCTCCTTGTGGAAGAACCACAACATTTGGAAGGAGCTGCCTCAGGCCCATCTCAAGTGTGGGTGTTGTTCAGGGGCTCCCTCTTGTTTGTCCCAAGTCACTGAGCACCAGAGAAGGTTTCAGTGAGCTCTGGTGAGAGAGAAGAGGTGAGGAGAGGCAGGAGTGCAGGTTGGATGTGATGATTTTTCTTTGGGAAAGGTAACAACATGGGAGAGATAAAGTGGATAGTGCAGCTGTGCCTTCAGCCTCATTGCTGCGGTGTCATACATCCACTGCCACCAAAAGGTTTATTCTTCTAGGTTGCTAATTCAGTGCAAAAAGGTCATTTTTGTATCAGCAGCTTTTTGGTACTTCTAAGTGAATTGACCATTTTTCAGCCCCTGCTCTGTGCCTGGGCTCTGTCACTCACCTGACTCACTCCTCTTCCTCCCAGGGTGCCATGGGGACCTTTGATCCCTGTCACAGCAAATATCTAATTCTGCATTTCACATGCAGGCTGGTTTTCTGCCCCTTCAGTAAGGTTGGAGCTGGTCTGGAAGGGTAACCAAGCTCTCTTGGCCAAGCTGCACTGGCAGGAGCAAAGCAGGAGAGAAGTGAAGCCAGAGGAGTGCAGAGACACTGTCAATTCTCTCTCCCACAATCTCTTCCCAGCAGCAGCTCTGCTCACTTGGAGGCACAACTTTAGTTTTTTGTGTCCCCCTCCCACTCAGCTGGATGTCACCTGTCTCATCCTCCTCCTGAGGTGCAGTGGCTCTGCCTGGCCAGCGTGTAGCTGAGCCCTGTGCAGCCCCTGGGGGCAGGAGGCTGCTCAAGCCCTGCTTCATCCCTTCCTTGTGCCCTTTCAGAGGCTGAACTCGTCTCATTTATTCCCTTTCCTTGGTCCCTGCATGGGTGGAGGTGGAAGCTCAGTGTGAGCAGAGCAGTGCCCGGCCCTGCCCGGGTGTGGTGATGGCACATTCCGTGTGCTCTGCCCTCACGGTTCCCCAGTGAGCCTGCACGGCCCCACAGCCATGGGGCGGCTTTTCCTGTGGGGTGTGTGTGAATCCCCTGTTCCCATGCAGGTGCTGAAGCCTACAAACCCTCGCTGGGCAGCAGGGAGGGCCCCAGCCAGGAGAACAGCATGGAGTACATGGAGGTGTCCCTGGATTCCCTGGACCTCCGGGTGAAGGGCATCCTCTCCTCGCCAGCGGGAGGTGAGTGCTGAGGGTGGGCTTGGGTTTAGCTTTGGGGTTGGAGCTGGAGTTTGGGACGGGTTTGAGAGGGGATTGGCTTGGGGTCGTCGTTGGGTTTGGGGTTGGGATTGGAGCTGGGTTTGGGGTCAGGGCTGGTTTTGTGTCTGAGTTTGGGTTTGGGGACAGGGCTCGGTTTGGGGTCTGGTTTGAATTTGAATGTGAGGCCAGGTTTGGGGTTGGGACTATGTTTGGGGGTCAGGTTTGGGGTCGAAGTTGTGTTTGGGGTTGGGTTTGGATTTGGGGTCAGGTTTAGGGTCGGGTTTGGATTTGGGGTCAGGTTTGGGGTTGGGTTTGGATTTGGGGTCAGGTTTGGGGTCAGGTTTAGGTTTGGGGTCAGGTTTGGGGTTGGGTTTGGATTTGGGTTTGGGGTCGGGTTTGGATTTGGGTTTGGGGTTGGGTTTGGATTTGGGTTTGGGGTCAGGTTTGGAGTTGGGTTTGGATTTGGGGTCAGGTTTGGATTTGGGGTCAGGTTTGGGGTCGGGTTTGGATTTGGGGTCAGGTTTGGATTTGGGGTCAGGTTTGGGGTCGGGCTTGGATTTGGGGTCAGGTTTGGGGCAGGGTTTGGATTTGGGGTCAGGTTTGGGGCAGGGTTTGGATTTGGGGTCAGGTTTGGGGCAGGGTTTGGGGTCCCTTTGTTCGGTGGGTGGCGTCGTGCGGGGCCCCGGCTGCCCCCTGGCGGCCACAGAGCGCGCGGAGCAACGGGAATGGGGCGGGATTGGGATGGGATGGGGTTGGGGATCGGCATTAGGGATGGGATGGGGTTAGGGATCGGCATTAGGGATGGGATGGGGTTAGGGATCGGCATTAGGGATGGGATGGGGTTAGGGATCGGCATTAGGGATGGGATGGGGTTAGGGATCAGCATTAGGGATGGGATGGGGTTGGGGATCAGCATTAGGGATGGGATGGGGTTAGGGATCGGCATTAGGGATGGGATGGGGTTAGGGATCAGCATTAGGGATGGGATGGGGTTAGGGATCGGCATTAGGGATGGGATGGGGTTGGGGATCGGCATTAGGGATGGGATGGGGTTGGGGATTGGCATTAGGGATCAGGATGGGATGGGGTTAGGGATTGGGATCAGGATTAGGGATTGGGATGGGATGGGGGTTATGGATTTGGATCGGGATGAGTGGAAAGATAGGGCTGGACTGGGGATGAGCGTTGGGATAGGGATGGGTATGGGTCTGGGTTGGGGATAAGGATGGATGTGGGTCTGGGTTGGGGATTAGGATTAGGGTAGGGATGGGACTGAGATAGGAATGCAGCTGGGATGAGAATGAGGAGGTGGGGATGGGGCTGGGCTGGGGGTGAGCATGAGGATAGGGATGGGGCTGGGATGGGGATGAGTGTAGGGATGGTGCTGGGATAGAAATGGGTATGGGTTTGGAATGGGGGTGGGGCTGGGGATGTGGGTGAGGATAGGGAGCGTGCTGGGATGCAATGAGGCTGTAGATGGGATCCCAGTTCCAGTGAGGCACGTTAGCTCAGGAATACTCTCACCAAGGGTCCAAGGTACTGCCCCAGCCCTCCTGTCCCACTCAGCAGCTGCCCTCCATTCCCTGAATATGCTGATTCAGCATCCCCCCAGAACTGCAGCTGCTGGCTCCTCAGGAATGGCTCGTTCAGCCCTTGGAGGAGGAGGGGCTGGTGCTGTGCCCTGGGTGCTGAGCCTCAGCTGCTGCTCCCAGTGCTGAACTCTCCTCAGATCCAGCATCCCCTGGCTGCATCCGCCCGTCTGCCCCACTGCTCCCTCAAAGCTTGTCTGGCTCCTTTGATAGAGGCACATCAAAGAGAGGGTGGGAGCCTTCCCCAGCAAGGGAGGGTCAGGAGGGATGAGGGATGCTTTCACCAGAGCCTCTGGATGTCAAACAGATTAGGGAAGTGACAGCTCGGAAGGCAAGGCATGAGCTTTGTGATTTGTGCTCCCAGAGAAAACTCTTAAACCTTTAAGATCTTGACAGGATTTTACATGAAAACAGTGAGGACTTTTCCTGGCCTTGTATGTCTTGAAATATCCCTTTGCTAGGTTTGGGCTTGTAACTTGTTGGCTCAAGGAATTCCTGATGGGATGAAAGGGGTTTGTGCTCGGCTGGCAGGGTCAGAGCCAGGGGCAGGGTGCTCTGGGGGAAGGCTGCCATTGCCAGGGCAGCTGAAGAGGAATCTCCCTCAGTGATGAAGTTAAATCTGCAAAACCTCCCGGCAAGAGAACTCTCCATTCCCATTCAAAAGCTTGAAAAATAGCAGCAGGCTTCCTTCTCAGTGTGAGTCAGTCCCAGAGCAGTGGGCAGGGAAACTTGGGATAAAAGCTTCAGGGTGAACCAGCCCCAAGGCCAGAGGATTCTGTGTGTAAACATTGCAGAGATGGTTTGGTGCAGGTCTGGAAGACGAGGGTAGGACTGGAATCAACCTTTTGTCACTAGGCCAGTGTTTGTCAATCTTGGGGAACCCAGTGGTTGATTTCAATCCAGAGGAACCACAGGAATATTCCCACAGTGACCCCCCTCAAAAGCCCTCATCCACCTTTCCATAGGTTTGTAAGTGTTCAACATCTGAGAGATGAGAAAAAGGCAAGAACATTGGAGCATCTTGCTGCTTTCTTTTCACTGGTTTGTTCTCTTTCCAAAATAAGTAATTTGTGCTTGGCTGACACCAAACAGTCCCAGGAATTTTGTTTTCCCATCTGTGTAATAAGCCTTTGCAAATAGGAGTTTGTGCTTTTGTGATCATCTCTATTTATCACTCCACTGCCTATTCAAATTTCTAGCTCTGAGTGGTTTCCTGCAAATTTCCTGGTGCCAGAGCCCAGTATTGTGGGGAGGGGAGAGAGGCTGATAAAAACCTGCACCTTATTGCTTTGCCTTTTTGAGGTTTTCTCAGAATAAACTGATCTTAACTTATCACTCTTGATCTCAGCACAGTCAGCTGAGTGTGGCTGGACTGGGAAAAGTGCAGGAGGCTTTTGCAAACTCCAGCTGGTGTAAAAGGGTCTCTTTTACAGGGTGGTGCTAGAGCCTGGAGAACATTTCAGGACATGGAATGGGAAGATGTCACAGGACATGACTGGTGTTGGTGGACTGAATCCTTTCCCCTGGGGAGAGAACTGGAGTTAATTCACTGTTTTTCTGTGCCCCAGGTCTCTCCAATGGCCCTGAAGCAATGGAAGTGGATGGTCTGCAGGAAGTGCCCCTGTGTAGCTGTCGAATGGAAACCCCCAAAAGCAGAGAGATCACCACGTTAGCCAACAACCAGTGCATGGCCACGGAGAGCGTGGATAACGAGGTAGGAGCCTGTCCTTTAGCTCCCCACAGCCTTTCCTGCTGAGGACAAGGCCACAAAGAGTGAAAAGCTGTGCCAGGAGCACGTGTGGGGTCATGCAGGGGCTCTGGGCCTGCTAGACTGGGACCCACTGGTGTGAGGAATGGCAGGAATGTCCCCCTCGCTCAGCACTGGGGCTCCAGCACTCTGTGCCTGTCCCAGCACTGGGGTGAGGCCACTGGGAAGGGAGCAGCTGCTGTGTCTGCACTGGGAGAGGCTCTGGGTGGCTCTCTCAGGCTGGTCCTGGCCTGTATGGCTGGATCTGGTTGATGTAACATTCACACTTCAGGCCCCACGGGCTCAAATACAGGAACCTGCATCAGAGAGAGAAAATCCATTCAAGAATTGGAGCTGGTTTGCCTTGACTGCGAAGGAACTGCTGCAAACCTTTCTGTGGCCAGGTGTTGAGTTCAGGAGCTTGGCATGGCCTCTGCTGCCCCAGCCTTTCTCTCTCCTCCTCTTTCTGTCCCAAAGCTTCCATGTCCTGGCAACTGTGCAGCCCCAGTCTGATGTCTGGCAGGGAGTGCACTCGATGCCTTTGGGTCACAGCTGGGCTGCTTGGGCTCTGCTGGTTCCAGAAGTGTGGGAGGAAGTGGCAGAAGTGACTCCATTCCAAAATCTGGAAAGTGAGAACTGCAGGACAGGAATGCTCTTGATGGATTCTCCTTTTACTGGGAGGCACTTGGGTTTCTTTTCAGCTTCAGCCTCACTACAGCACTCTCACACTCACCAGTGGTAGAACAAGGAATGAGAATATCCCTAGTTCTCCTCTAGGATTCCAGGAGAAGGGTGGATGGAGGGACAAAGGGATAATCAGGTTTGTAGACCAGCTCTGCTTCTCTTAGTATGTGCTGGTACCTGTAGAGAGAGGAATTTCCAAAGAATGGCAAAATTGATTCATTAGAGAGAAAGTGTCTTGGGAGACTCATCATAGACAGGGGGGACCCCAGGGTTTCTAAACAGACACAAGGTGTGTGAAAGAATTCCTGCTCCTGGCTATGGTGAGTTGACAGTTCTGTCCCTGAATAAATCACAGGGAGGAACAGCAAAGACCATGCTTGATGTTGGATTCTTTTTGATAATGGGATAAGTGACTCAGAGATGTTAGAGGAATATTATATGTGTGAATAGTGGCTTCTCCAGACTGTCATGTCCTTGGAGAGTGTTATAAATAGTTCTGAGCACCCTGCTGCACTCTCTAATGGTTGCAAAATAGCAATTAATCATGTTGAACTTGTTTTAGAGTTTCTAACAAAAAGTGTGGCATAGCAGTGCAGGGTCTTCCTCACATGGGTAATGCAGCTTTCCACATGTCAATGGAATTTGCTCACCTCAGTAAAATTCCTCCTCAGAAAAAGATCAATGGTCCCCTTGTGCCATCACTGCAGCCCCTGGGCTCGGGGTGGTGACAGGGATCAGTCTGGCCAAGGTGTCCCAACCACACAAGTCTTTGCAGCTGGAATTTGGGAAAGCTGAACTGGAGATGCTGGGGTAGATGATGAGCCTAGCTTAAAATCCATTCTCTTTTCCCATAGGGGTGTTGCGTCTGCAGGGGTGGAATTAAAAAGAAAATAGAGAGAAAGTTTAGTTTTGTTGAGAAAAAGCAGCAAATTCTTGGCTGGAGCAGAGGGACAGTCTGTGGCACTGAGTCCCTGACTGACTGTCATGAGCACAATGAATTCTACACCTTCCCTCCAAGGGACCCTTCCTTGGAGCAGCCTTTCACCTTGATATTCCTGGTTTATAAGTCTCCTTTGCCAGGTATTTGGGGAAAGTAAGTTATTATCAAGGGGAGCCTGAAACAGACACAAAGAGTGTCGTGTCCTGCTGGCAGGTGACAGCTGGGCTGGGACAGTGGTGGCTGTAGGAGATGCTGCTCCCTCTTGGTGCAGCAGAGCAAGGAACACTGGCTGGGGACAGGGAGCCCCAATTCTGGAACCTGCTGCCAGTAAAAGGACAAGGTGGAGTGTGAGAAAGCATGGAATGGTAGGAAAAGGGGGATGGCTTCAAGCTGAAGGAGTGAAGGTGAAGATTGGGAAGAAATTTTTCCCTGTGAGGGTGGGCAGGCCCTGGCACAGGTGCCCAGAGCAGCTGTGGCTGCCCCTGGATCCCTGGCAGTGCCCAAGGCCAGGCTGGACAGGGCTGGGAGCAGCCTGGGACAGTGGAAGATGTCCCTGCCATGGCAGGGGTGGAAGTGGATGAGCTTTAATGTCCCTTCCCACCCAAACCATTCCATGATTCTGTGATCCTCTGATTTTTAAGCCCCGAGCTGTAGATTGATGAAATCTTTTGGAAAACCTGCTCCAAACATGACTTTAGCTGAGCTTTCATGAAAGCCTGGCTCTTCATCCCTGTGGTCTGGGCAGGGGCCAGTGCTGGAACCAGTACAGACGATAACTTCGCTGGCAATGAGGAGCAATTATTTCTCCCTTTATCTTCCTGTGACTGGGAGTTTTGAGCAGTAACAAGATTTAGTGTGTATGGTCTCCTTCTCTTGGTCACTGACACCCGCTCTTCCTGGCAAGAGGAGAGTGTGTGTTGTGTGAGTCAGGCCCCTGGGACTGCCCCTTCTGCTGCTTGGCTGTTGCCTATTTCCAGTTATGATTTTGTTGTTGTTGTTGCAAGGAACAAATGACTCGGGGTGCACATGCATGTTAGTTAGTAAATGATGCATTCCTTCCTGAGAGCAGCTTTCACAGCTTCCTGCTGCACTGCTAATGCTCTCTGGCACACAGCTGAATTCCTGTGAACAAGCCAGGGCTCCTCGAGGCAGTGTGCAAAATCTTCCTCTGCACAAGCACAGGGAGTGTTGTGGTCTGCAGTAATTTCATTTCCTTTAATTTCTCCTGTTCCAGCTGGGCCGATGCACAAACAGTGTGGTTAAGTATGAACTGATGCGCCCGTCTAACAAAGTCCAGCTTTTGGTGCTGTGTGAGGACCATAGAGGGAGGATGGTGAAACACCAGTGTTGCCCTGGCTGTGGATACTTTTGCACTGCAGTAAGTTCGTGCTCTCAATCTAGGGAAGGGGGTACCTGTTGCAACAGCTGGAAGCTGAACATGGAGATGGTCCCTAAAGGGGTGTCCTGACTTCCTGGCATCAGCCCCACCTCGTTCCACAGCACATCAGGAGGTGTTTTCAATAGGAATGTGTGTGAGGGCAGCTGAAATCATCACCTTTATCTTCCTGGAGACCCTCAAAGGGTGTTACCAAGGGGATTTCACATGCTGGAAGTCTTGCCTTTGGAATTTCTTTGGAACAAGGGTTTGTTGTTTTTCTTGGTGTACAGATCAATCACATCCAAAAAATGTCTTAGCTTGGTTTGTAGGGGAACCTGTGCCCCCACCTCTGTGTTCCCTCAGGATGGGGAACCTGAGTGATGGCACTGGACCAAGGCAGTGTTGGAGATCTCAGTTAGATTAGATATTAGAAAGATTAAATATTAGGAAGGAATTCTCCCATCTGAGAGTGATGAGGCCCTGGCACAGGGTGCCCAGAGCAGCTGTGGCTGCCTCTGTATCCCTGGCAGTGTCCAAGGCCAGGTTGGTCAGGGCTTGGAGCAGCCTGGGGCAGTGGAAGGTGTCCCTGCCCATGGCAGAGGGGTGGAACCAGATGAGATTTAAGGTTCCTTCCAACACAAATCACTCTGTGATCTCCTGCTGCTTCTTCCACCTGTGCCACCGAGGCTTTTAAGGGACTTGGTGCAGTCCTTTAGTGGTCAGTGCCCTGCTTTCCCTGTGGATAAAGCTGAAGGGCACCAACTGAGGCCTCATGGAGTGATGGTGAGGCTTAATTGTGTGATGCTGGTATTTTTCAAGATGACTCAAGGAAAGATGCTGCAGTTGTCTCAAGCATTATTGTAGTAAGTGGAGCCATCCTGGGTTTCTTGCTGAGTCAAAGATCATTTAGAAGATAAAATCCTCAAACCCCTTCAAGGCATTTGCAAAGCTGAAATAGAGTTAATTAGATTGCTTGGGAAGACTGGATTCAGGAGAAGAGGGGGTTTGGCTGGCCTTTCCTTGCACTCTCTTCCATCTCTCAGTGCTGTGTGCTGGTGCACAGAGGTGAACCTGGAGTGTTTGTCTGTGCCACCATCACCAACCCAGAGCACAGCAGGGCTTCAGGCAGCACTGACACCACAGGCAGGGAGTTCTGGGCTCCTGCACAGCAGTTGCAGGGACTTTGCTAGAAAGGGAAAATAATTTTAAGAGGGATTGCCCAGTTTGTTGCATGAGCAGTGAGCTTGTTTGGGTTAATTAGGCTGGTCCAGGCAGAAGAGTCACATAATTTGGGTTACAGTGGGGTCAATGACAGATTCATGCAGTTCTTGAATGGTTTGTGTAAGCTGTGTTTCAGGTAGCTTTAATGCTGGCTCAGCACAGGTCTGAAGGTTTCTTTTCCAGTTTTGGGGGCGTCCTTACAGTGCACTGGCACTTCTAGAGACACAAGCGAGAACTTCAAGCGTTAGAGGGAAGAGCTGGAAATCGGGACTTCTTTGTTCTGTTTCCCAAGCACAATTCCAAATCTTGCTTTGCAGTCCTTAACCAAGTGAGTTTTTCCCCCTTTACCTTGGTTTTGTTCTCTTCTAAAGAAGTGGCAGTGCTTGCTTTACTGTACTGGACGCAGCAGGGCCGAGAGAGGTGGTGAGAGGAATGGCATGGAGCATGTGAAGGGGCGAGGCACGGGCCGAGCAGGGGCTGAATTCCTTCTCTGTGGTTTTTTAAGGGCACTTTCATGGAGTGTCAGCCCGAGAGCAGCATCTCCCACCGCTTCCACAAGAGCTGTGCCTCGCAGGTGAACGACACCAGCTACTGCCCTCACTGCGGGGAGGAGGCCTCCAAGGCCAAGGAGGTGACAATAGCCAAGGCTGACACCACCTCCACGGTGTCCCTGAGCTACGAGCAGCAGAAACCCGGCGCTGTGGAGGGCAGGGCCGACACCACCACGGGGAGGTGAGCTCGGGGGGATCTCAAACCTCCTGCCAGACCAGGATTTGGTTTGAATTGGGCTCAGCTTGGAGGAGTGGCTGTGCTCCTCTCAGTGAGCTGAGTGCTGCCTGGGCTGGCTCAGCTTCAGGAATCTGCAGGATTGTTTTGGGTCACTCGCTGCCCCAGAGCTGAGGCAGAGGCTCTGGAGGTTGGGGGGTTCAGGAGTTAAACCATTCCTTCCTCTTACTGTTAGGAATGGAATAATAGTGGAATTAGTTGATATTGTCAGGTTTGCTAAGTGACAGCCATTCCCATCTGCAGCTCCTGACTCGCACCCATGAGAGGAGGAAAGCACAAATCAAACCAGCCCTGTGTTGAACTCTGCTCTGACTTCCCATCCCATATGGCCTTCTGTAGGTGGCTTTAAGACTTGCCCCATGTACCTTGGTCTCCTGTAGCATGGAGTACATCAAGATGTAGTCAGAGGGCAGTGCAATTCCTTACTGGGCAAGTTCTTACCAAAAAAGCTGTAAAATATATTGCTTTGGGTTTCGATTTCAGTTACACTTATCTGTGTTTAAAATGCATTTGCTTTTCTTTTTTGGCATAAGAGAAACGTTGTGTATTTTTAATGGTTGTGCTTTGGCTATCTCTCATTTTTCCTCTTCAGTGGCACTGGGACGAGGTTGTCAGAGGAAGACAAGCCAGAAAGTTCAGCTGCTGAAGGGTTTGACATCCCTGGGTCTTCAGTTTTTCCAAAGCCTACTACTAGCTTGACCCAGGGACCAGTGAAAGAAACCTTGGAAAGTGCCCTGATTGCCCTGGACTCTGAAAAGTAAGCAAAAGACCATTGGGTCACTCCAGTTCCCAGCCAAGTTGCTTAGCCTAGAGAAAAGGAGATTTAGCTTTTCTGGATTTTGGTCCAACTCTGAGCTTTTTTTCTTCACTTCACTCATTAGTCATCCCCAACAGATTTGGGAGAACTGTAACAGCTCTAAATGTCTTATTGATTTCTCTGGAGGATTTAGTTTTCCACTGTCTCTTCAGCTGCAGCTGTAACTTCTGGGCTCCTGTTCACAGTAATGAGACCCAGAATCTGTTGCTGAGCAGCACTGAACAGATCCAGCCCTCGCTGGAACAGGACTGCCTCGGGCTGGAGCTGGAAGTTTTAAAGCCTCCTTCTGGAAATTTGTTTTTCTGGAGCTGTACACTGAAGCTGTATCAGAGAATCACAGAAAGTTTGGGTTGGAAGGGACCTTAAATCTCATCCACTTCCACCACTGTCCCAGGCTGCTCCCAGCCCTGTCCAGCCTGGCCTTGGGCACTGCCAGGGATCCAGGGGCAGCCACAGCTGCTCTGGGCACCCTGTGCCAGGGCCTGCCCACCCTCCCAAGGAGGGATTTCTTTCATATATTTAATCCTAAATTTCCTGGCTTTCAGTTTGAAGCCATTCCCTGTGTCCTGTCCCTCCATCCCTTGTCCCCAGTCCCTCTCCAGCTTTGTTGGAACCTCTTTAGGCCCTGGAAGGGCTCTGAGCTCTCCCTGGAGCTTCTCCTCTCCAGGTGAGCACCCCCAGCTCTCCCAGCCTGGCTCCAGAGCAGAGGGGCTCCAGCCCTTGGAGCATCTCTCTGGCCTGTCTGGATTCACTCCAGAGCTCCACGTCCTCCCTGTGTTGGGGATCCCAGATTTGGAGGCAGCTCTGCAGGTGGGGTGTCACCTGAGCACGGGGGCAGAGGGGCAGAGCTCCCCCAGCCCTGCTGCCCACACTGGGGGATGAGCCCAGAGCTTTGCCAAGTGCAGGGGTGGCAGTGAGGGGTGACATTCCCTTTCTTCCCTGGGCATTAATTCCTCTCTCTCCCCGCTCCTGCAGGCCCAAGAAGCTGCGGTTCCACCCGAAGCAGCTGTACTTCTCAGCCAGGCAAGGGGAGCTGCAGAAGGTGCTGCTGATGTTGGGTAGGTGCCTCCTGCCCAGGCCTCTTGTCTGGCAGCACTCCCAGCTCCTGCCAGGCAGTGCCAGCGGCCACTTCCCAGCATGGCACCACGTCATCTTCCCATGGGGAGGCTCCTGTGGGTGATGTGTCATTGGGAGGGCTTCATCTCTCTGGGAAATGTGCACTGCTCCCCACTTGTGTCTGCATCTGAGCGTGGTTCCTCCAGACCACCTGGTTGTGTCCCCACAGTGACCTCCATCTGGTTTGTCCCATCCCCTCTCCATGCCTGGGGTACATATTTGCATCCAGTAGAGAGGGAATAGATTTAATAGATTTCAATTTAAATCAAGACCCATCAGCAAGAAAGCAGAAGGGAAGAGCCTTCAACCATGGGGTTTGTTTTGGGGTACAGAGGTACCTATCACTAGATACCTTTGAGCTGCTGAGCTTGTTTTTAGCACCCAATATTCCCCAGGAATTTCCCCCTCTGAAGGACACAATGTTTCCTCAGGATGCTTCCTTTCCACTCCAGTACTTTGCTGTACATTTTTGGATGCTCTCTGTTCTTGCCCTTTATCAGTTCCTTTTTTTTTTTTTTTTTTTCTAGCGTTTGCTCCATTGTTCCTGTTTTCAATAGCACAGAAATGTTATTCATTGATATTTAACTACAGCCTCATCATACACAACATGTTATCATGCCCAGACATCTTTGTCTGGCTGTCAGCATCATCTGTCAGTCTCTGCACAGCTGTGAAAATCTCTGGCCAGATCCTGAGCCTCTGTGGAGAAATTCCATCCATGTTGCAGCTCTGTATTTGCAGGGATGCAAAAAGGATCACTAATTTTAATTTCAGTTAATAGTGGTGAGACAGAGCCCAGGTGGTACAAACTCTTTGTTGTTCCCAGTTTCTGGGCTGCTTTAAACCAAGCAGCAATTTTTCTCTTTTTATCCTCGTGTGGTGTTTGTTGTTTTTGAGATGAGTTGTGAAGCTGAGGGATGTTGCCTTTGGAAAGATAGTAATGCCTTAAAAAGTCATTGAATTTCATGGTGTTTCTAAGCTCTGGGTTTGAGGGCTGTTGCATATTGAATGTGCAGGGGACTGCCCTGAGAGCTTTCTGGTGGAATGTGCAGTGAGACATGAGCAGGCCTGAGGATGGGCTGGGAACCCATCCCTTAAAAGCCTTTAGCTGAGACATGATTCTCCTGTTACACTTCAGTCTCTGAACTGTGCTTGAAAGTGGCTCTGCTCTGTTTTGCAGTGGATGGAATTGACCCTAATTTTAAAATGGAGCATCAGAGTAAGAGAACCCCTCTCCATGCTGCAGCCGAGTCTGGCCACGTGGACATCTGCCACATGCTCATTCAGGTCTGTCTGCACTTCCAGCCCTCTCAAAAACCATTTGCTGTGGGTTTTGATCTGCCCCACATGGAAATCAGCAGTGGAAAATCCCTCCTGTAAAAACCTCCTCAATCCCAGGGTTTGCTGAGGGAGGAGTGGGGCAGAGTAACGGGAGGGCACAACTGGAATTGTCCTGCTGGGCTGTTCTCCAGGCAAGGAGCAGGGGAAGATTTGGTGTGGGCACGTGGGGATCTGTGCCTAAGCACAGCCAGAGCTGGGCACTGCCAGATGTGCCAGTACCAGCACAGCCTGATGCACTGCCAGATGTGCCAGCACGGCCAGATGTGCTGCCAGGCTGCAGGAGATCTCCAAGCTCTTGGTTTTGATCTCCAAGCCACGTTGCTCTTGGTGATGAGGGCAGTGAGGCTCTGGAGCCTGGAAGCTGCCAGGCCCTGTCTTCCCTTCTGTCAAAACCTGAGGAGCTCCTGCAGGATTTTCCTCTGCAGCATAAATGTCTCACATGTGGAAAGGAGTGAAGGGAAGATGCAAGTTTGGTTTGTTGTCTGGGATTTGGGTTCTAACTGAGGGAAGATAGTCAGAGCTGTAGGGGTGTTGTTGAGCCTGCTCCAAAACAATGTGAAGAAGAAAAATAAGCATTTAAAAAGTTCTAGTTTTTCTTTTTTGTACTGGTGTACCTGGTCTGGAGGTGTGTTTTGTTTACTCTATGGGATTGGGAAACCTTAAAGGGCTGCTGAGAAGGCAGCAGTGACTGGCCCTTGGAAATGATCCTACTGGGCTGATGCATTTCAGCACCTGGAACTGGAGGCTTTCAGGTACTGTTTGAAGGCAGCAATGGACCTTCCTGGCTGCTCTCACTACAATTACTGCGTGTGAAGACAGTGGAATGAGGAAAAGGAGCAAAACTTGTGAGATATCACAAACAGTTTAATTATCAGTAGGGTTGGTTTGTTTCCAAAGTGCTTCATCTTGTCTCTCCCTGAGGTCTGGCTTCTGCAGCAGCCCAGTGTTTGGCTGGGAATGGCCTCAGCATGTTCCACTTGAAATGCCTCCTCTGCCCTGGTTCAAATTGCTCTGGCTGGGGGAAAGAGTCAAACCAAAGGAATTCAGTGGGAGGCACCTGAAAACAGCTCCTTGTGCCAGGTGAACCTGAGTCAGCTGTTGTGAACAGGTGTGAGCCTCACACACACCCCCCTACCAAGAGCTGGGTGTCTGAGAGCTTTTGGGTTTAACTTTTGGATGATTCCTGAGCTCAGCCCGAACCTGACATAGCCATGGTTTGGAAAGGAGTGAGGTGTTGGAGGCACTCTGGGTTGAACTGAACAGATGCTCAGAGACCTCTGTGGAAGTGGTGCCATTGACTTCCACAGGAATATTTAGCCAATCCCCAGGATATTTTTTACAGCTCCTGCCTCTGTTGCCATCAGCAAGTTGTTCCTACTGCTTGTGACATTGAGAAGAGCTGGTTGTTGTAGGCTAAATGATAGACCAGGGAAAACAAAGCTGTTGGAAAAAGAAGGCTGACTTTTCCAAATTGTTACACAAGCAATATCTAGAAAGAAGGACTACAAAATCTGGTAATAACAGGAGTTATTTAATACCAGTTGTTGGCTTCCTTACAGTTCCTTCCTGGCTGGGAAGGCAGGAGAGGGGGCAGGCAGTGTGTGCTGTTTCCAGAGCAGGTGGACTTACACTGCCTTCTTTCCTCATTCTATTTCTTCTTTTTTCTTCTTTTTTTCCCCCTGCTTACTATGGCTAAATTTCAGGAGAAGATCTTGGTATTAAATCTCTACTCTCACATCCTTCCTCTGCTAATTGTCCTTGTCCTTGCCCTGGCCTCCCAACAGGCTGGTGCTAACATTGACACCTGCTCTGAGGACCAGAGGACCCCGCTGATGGAAGCAGCAGAAAACAACCACCTGGAAACTGTGAAATACCTGATCAAGGCTGGAGCACTAGTAGATCCCAAGGTAGCAGTTTATTCCTTCCCTTTTTCTCCTGAGGAAGCCTCTGTCCAGCATTTCTTCCTTGAAGTTTTGGGTAAAAGTGCCCAGGCTGAGTAGAAATTAACTGGTTTGTCTTGGAGTGAAGGCTGGAGTTGTCATAATCTCATTTTTCTGCTGGCCATGAGCTGTTTGGGGCAAGTGTTGCCACTTGTCCCTCTAGTTTGTGGCACCAAATGTCATGGGGATTTCATTTCATAGATCTTAGTGTCACAAATCCACTGCAGTGGAGCTGATTTCAGAGTTCCCTTCTCTGTAGGCTCTCATAATAAGAGTTTTGGGGTGATGTTTTAAAATAGGCTGGTAATTAGGTGTTTGCCAAGCCAGGAAAAATGACAGAGGAAGCTTTCCTTTCCAAAGGACTGATGTGTGAATTCTTGCAGTCATGCTGCAGTGGCAAAATTGAACCCCATCTTTAAACTCTACCCCTTAATTTAAACCAAAACAATAAAATGCAGCTGTCTCTTTGCCTTTAGCATGCTCTGGTTGCTTTGCAATCTTGGAAAATGCACAGACCATTGATTAGTCCCATAAATCAGATGCTGTTTGGAGCACAGGAAGCCTCCCCATTCAAACTTACTGTCACAACCTGCTGCTCCTGGCTGGGTTTGGGAAGGAACCAGCAGCATTGCAGAAGGTATCAGGTGCTGCCCAATCCAGGCCCCAGATGGATCCTTGGGAGGCTGGTTCTGAGCTGGGAAGGGGAAAGGACAGGACAGGCACGTGTGGCTTTGTGCTGGCCACTGTCCCAGGTACCTTGGAGCAGCCCAGACATCTCTCACCTGATTTATTCCTGTGGAAAAGAGGGGAGTTTGTGCTTCTGAAGGTCAAGGGAAGGAGATAAATTCTGACCTTGCAAAAACAACTTAGAAGCCTCAGATCACAGCTAGTTTATGATGTTAATTAGTTTATTGCACCAGCTCAGGCCTCTGTTTGAAAGCAGCAGCAGTGGTTTGGAAGCAGCTCCAGCCCTTAGCTGGGGCAGGTGTGTGCAGAGCCCTGGGACTGCAGGGCAGGGAGCTGGGTGGAGGCTCCCCAGCCCCCAGGGTGAAGCTGTTGGTCCTGTTATCAGCATGGAAAAACCCCACTCAAAACCTGAAGAAACTTTTCAATAAAACCTGCCTGCTCTCCCAGGGCTGAGGAGCTGCACTCGGTTCTTGCCCATCCAAGGGGCAAGAACCCAAGGGGCTGTGGAATTATTCAGCTGGAGCAGGCACATATGGGGGTGTAGAAACTCTTTCTGTGTCCCCAGGAGCCCTCATGGTGCAATCCCTGACCTGAGATGTCCCCTCCTTGCTCAGGGAGTTGCTCTCTCACCCTGCAACACAATCAGCTCCATCCCAAAGCTCTCACCTCCAGCGTTGCTCCCAGGGATTCAGCTAGAAGGAGTCATTTCATTTTCAGTCTTTCATTTCCTCCTCCTGATTTCCTGCTCTCTGGGCCTTGCTCTGTGCTAAGCTCTTGGGATATGAATGCCTGATAAAAGTCAGGCTGCTGCCAGAGAGATCTTTGGTGTGAGGGTGGGAGCATCTCCTCTCCATCATGACTCACAGCCTGCCCATCTCCTCCAGGCCTTGCATTCCCAGCTCCCAGAGGCATTTTTCCTTTCAACCTTTGGGGTTGTGTTTTATCTCCTGTCTGTGCAGATGGCTGTGGCAGGCTGGGGACCTGTTCTCTCTGGAGAGAGACACCACAGCCCTGGACCTGCTGCCAGGTGCTGGGATAAGGCCTTGGGCTAACAAAACCCAGCAGGAAACCTGGAGGAATGGAGCATTTCAACTTGAGACAGAGCAATTTTTCTGATGTAAAGTGCAAACTTTGCCTGTGTAAGGGATTTTTGCTTCCCTTTGGCTCTTCAGCAAATGGAGAGGAGTGGGAAATGGGCTGTTGGAGAAGGGGGCATCACTGCCAAGGTTTGGGACTGGTACCTTCCCCAGGCTTTGCAAAGCCCTTTCCTTCTCTGCAGGGTGGCACCTCTTTGGTGTAAAGCTCCCAAGCTTTGCTTAGAGCTGGCTCTGGCTCCTGTCCTCTGCCCTCCTGGCAGTGGGGTGGAGACTTTTAGGGTTCTCTGCTCCATCTGGGAACTTCTCTGCTGTTCCTGAGCATCCCTGAGGATTTGTTCTGTGCTTGTGTGCAGGATGCTGAGGGCTCCACGTGTCTGCACTTGGCAGCCAAGAAGGGGCACTACGACGTGGTGCAGTACCTGCTCTCCAACGGGAAGATGGATGTCAACTGCCAGGTGAGGCCTTCCCTGGGGCAGGAGCTGCTTGCCCAGGTCAGGGACTCCCTCAGGTCTGTGCTGTCTGCCCAGTGCTCACTCAGGTACAGTCCTGCTGCTGGGGGACACCTCCAAATCACCCCAGGGTGGCAATTCCATGCCCCTCCTGTCTGCCAGGGAGTGTGATCCCTCACTGACCTCAGGGAAACTCCCCTTGATTTGCAGTTTCTCCTTGGCCTTGAACTTGCTGTGGAGCCTGTTGCTCCAGGGTGTTTCTGAGCTTTTCCTGCTGGGGAATCATGGACAATGGTGTGGGATGGGCTGAGCCTGGCACTTATCAGTGTGGGGTTTGCCCATTGCTGTGGGGTGAGACAGAGCTGCACAGAGGGGCAAGAGTAGGTTGCCAGGCTTCTCAGGGGGTTTCTGTAAGGTCTCTTACACACCCTGGGTGTTCCTTGTGCCTTTTGGACAGTCAGTGTACTTGAACAAGCTGGAGAGGCAGTGCCAGCCTGCTGAGCTGGAATAAACTCCAGGCTCAGCTGTGCTGCTCCCAGCCAGGCTGGGCTCTGAGGGACCTGCAGGCAGACAGGGGGAGGGCAGGGCTGGCTGGGACCGCAGGAGGCTGTGTGTGTGCTGTGTGTCACCCGCTGTCCCTGCCCAGGATGACGGTGGCTGGACGCCGATGATCTGGGCCACGGAGTACAAACACATCGAGCTGGTGAAGCTGCTGCTGGCCAAGGGCTCGGACATCAACATCCGTGACAACGTAAGGCTCCCCTGGAACCTCCTGCAGAAATTGCAGTCTGTGCTTAAACCCCAGACATGCCAGGTGACGGATTTTGGGCTCAGTCCATTGCCGTGGTGTGAGTGAGAAGTGTCTGGTGAGAGTTTTCCTGCATTCTGAGCAGAAGTTTGGCAGCTTGTGGGATGTGCTGTCCCTCCAGCTGCTCTGCCACAGCCTCTGAGGATGCTGTGTGGAATCCTCAGGCTGGACTCGGCTCTGAGCCTCCCTGGTTCCCATCCCACTGTGCTGCCACTGGACACTGCACCAGGCAGATCCCCTTCAGTCCAGACTTACCAGCTCTGTGCTTGTCAGGCCAGTGACTCTGGGTGTTTTAGGGGCACCCTGTGTGCCTGTTTGTGTTTCTGGATGGGCTGAGCACTCTGCCAGCAGCTATCAAAGCCTGGCTTTTCCTGGGCACCACTGGCACAAAGCTCTGATGTGTCCAGAGCATGGCCAGGCTGGCAGCTCTGCCCTTCACCTCCCTAAATCCTGCTCCAGTGGGATGAGCTCAGTGCGTGAGTCCCTGGGAGCTCCGTGGGATCCCCAGCGCTGCCTGTGGGGCTGTGCCAGGTGCTTTCCCAGGGATTTACAGGGAAATAGAGAAGATACAAAGAGATACTGTTTGCTTTTTTTCCAAGCCTTCTTCAGGGGAATCATTGTATCAGCGCTGCTCCTCTCTTTTCCTTATACTATGTTTCTCTTTTGTTTCGTGTAGTCTCTAAGGATTTTGGAGTGAGGTGTCTCATTCCATTCCTGGAAGTGTCCTGGGCCAGGTTGGACAAGGTTTAGAGCAACCTGGGAATAGTGGAAGGTGTCCCTGTCCATGGCAGGGGGTGGCACTGGATGAGCTTTGAGGTCTCTTCCAAACTAAACCAAAGCAAACCCCTCTGTGTTTCTGTGATTGTGTGGTCTAACCCCAGCCAGGCACCAAGCCCCTCACAGCCCCTTGCTCACTCCCCCACCAGTGGGGAGAGAATCAGAAGGGTAAAAGGTAGAAAAAGACTCGTGGGTTGAGATACAGTTTAATGGGAAAGCCAAAGGCACACACACAAGCAGAACAAAACAGGGAATTAATTCTCTGCTTCCCATGGTTGGGCAGGTGTTCAGCACCTGCAGGAGAGCAGGGCCCCACCCATGGAACAGTGATGTGGGAAGACAAAAACCATCAGTCCAATCATCCCCCTTTGTCATTCTTTCCCCACTTTATATCCTGAACTGATGTCAGGTGGTCTGGAATATCCCTTTGCTCAGGGTCACCTGTCCTGCTGTGTCCTCCCAGCTTTCCATGTCCCCCAGTCTCCTCCCCAGTGAGGCAGCAGGAGGACCAGAACAGGCTCTGTGTCAGCCCTGCTCAGCAGTGACATCTCTGTGTCCCCAGCCCTGTGTTCAGCACAGCCCCACACCAGCCACTGGGAGAAATATTAACTCTATCCCAGCCAAACACAGCACACTTAGAATGGTTCCCAGTTCCCAGGCTTGTCTGGATCCAATCCTGTTCCTAAAAACAAAATTCAAGGTGAGAGGGGGCTTTTTGGGCTGTTACATCTGCTTGCTGACTGAACAAAACTGTCTCTTTGATCTGTCACAGCTTCAAGATCGCACATTAGCGATGAACATCAAATCAACTCAGTCAACAATTGACTTGAAAGAGAAGTGTGCTCTTAACAGCTGTGTGTGTGACACATCTATCCTGGACCTGCAGCTGGGGTGTCCTGGTGGATGTGGTTAAGGACAAATGTCACTGGTGCTAGGAAACATCCTGCTTTGGGAGAAATGCTTTGATTGTGCTGATGCTGCTTTTTAGGCAGGAGCAATGCAAAGCAGAGACCAGCGCAGGTGTCTGGGACCTGTGTGAGCTGCAGCATGTGGGTGCAACCCACAGGAGGGATGTTTTCTGTAGACTGTATGGGGTTCTGCTAGATGATACTGTAATGGGAAACAGGAGCTGGGTAGAAAAGTGTCTCCCTTTCCCGGATGTGTGGCAATAGCTCCCTGTTTAAGGCAGGACCTTAAGTTACATGGTAACAGCTCAAATACTCCAGCAGCAGCTTTGTTTTTGCTTTAAAAAGAAGGGAAAAAAGGGAATAGCTGGGTGATCATTACTATCATTTCACTGTTGTCATCGACATCTTTAGAGCCTGTCATGGGGAAGGGATCGACGTGTGCTGCAAATTGCAGTGTAACAGAAAACAGGATCATCCCTTAAAATATCTCAATCAGAAAGATGAGTGTTCAGCTATTTCCAGTGCTGCTAGTGAGAGATGGGTACATACAGTATTTAAGAGATGCCTGGAGTCAGATTGATTGCTTACCCCATGGCTTCTGGTTCTCTTTTTGGCACCTTCACGTACCCTATGTGCTCTTTTTCTCCTTAACTTCATGCTGTGCTCTTTTTCTACTTAATTTTGCAGCCCTGGGAGGCACAGTGGCTTTTCTGGCTGTTGGAGCTGGGGAAACTCAGCATCCAGCCTTTTCCAGCATGTTTGTTCATGTCTGTCACCTCTTTCCTGGATTGATCTAGATTGGTTTGTGGCTCAGAGACTGACGAGCTGTCTGTGTGTGTGTAGGGAAGGTGATGGATTGCCTTGTGTGCAGCCTCCCCATCCTTGGTGTGCAGAGGTGGATGGAGTGAGAACTCCCTGTTTGGCTGCTCTGAGGTTTCCCTGTCCACCCTGGCATTCCCAGCCAGCCAGAGCAGGGTGGGGATGGCAGCCACACACTGAACGCTGCAGGTGCAGAGCTGAGGAAGGAACCCCCAAAGCCACGGGGTTTTAAACAATCTCCTCTCTCTTTTCTTTCCCTCCAGGAGGAAAACATTTGTTTGCACTGGGCTGCTTTTTCTGGCTGTGTTGACATAGCTGAGATCCTGCTGGCAGCAAAGTGTGACCTGCACGCCGTGAACATCCACGGGGACTCGCCCCTGCACATCGCGGCACGAGAGAACCGCTACGAGTGTGTGGTGTAAGTGCACTGCTCACCCTCCCTGCCCCCCTGGCTGCTGACTGGCAGGCTCAGGAGAGCCTCTCAAGTGTCTTTGGTCTTTACACACAGCCCAGGGTTGGGATGGAGGGCTTGTTTTTCTCCCAGGGGTGGGGGGTGTGAGGTACCAGCTGCTGCCAGAGCTGCTCAGAAAACGTGGCGTGTTTTGGAGTCTGAGGGGCTGTGCTCAGCCTGGGCTTCCCAGCAGGAAGGTGTCAGGCTTCCTTGATTAAAGCTTCTTTTTCCCCACCACTAGCATGGTAACAAGGTGCCCCGTTACCTTTGTTTTATTGCTTCATCCCTCCTCTGAATAAAGCCATCATGTTCTCACCAAAAGCTGGTGAGTATAAACAAGGGCCAAGTCCACCACCAGTTTTCTGTGGGGCTCTTCCATTTCCAGCCTGCTCTTCCCACTCCATATCTTTCCCTGCCAGAGAGAGTTTCAAGCCTGTCTGAAGTTAGGCTGGTACCAGCAAGGTACCTGAAGCAAGGCAAGGTTTGCCCAGAGCTTCTGTCAGAAGGATTCACTGAACCATGCTTAATAAAGAAAACTCAGGTGATTATTCACTACTACAGATTCTTCCTCGTCCCTTAAGGGCTGGCTGGAGGATGTGATTCAGCTTGTTTTCCCCTTGCCTGGTTTCTCCTGGGGAATCCTTATCCTTCCTTGCTGTTTTGCAGTCTCTTTCTTTCCCGTGGCTCGGATGTCACTTTAAAGAACAAGGAGGGTGAGACCCCGCTCCAGTGCTCCAGCCTTAACTCTCAGGTCTGGGTGGCCCTACAGATGAACAAGACTCTCAAAGAATCATCTTCTGAGAAGCCTGCCCAGATAGAGAAGGTGGTGAGCAGGTGAGAATAGGGCTGGCTTTGCTTGTGGGTCATGAAATGGAGCCCTTGCACAGGGAAGGCTGGGAGCCTGGTTTAAGAAAGAACTGTGTACCTTCTTAAACTGGTGTGAAGGTCAGTGTGAGCTTAGCAAGAACTAAGCCCATGCTGATTCAGTCCGTGGTTTGCAAATTCATCCTCCAAATGGAAATCCTCACAAGCACAAAGAGCCATCTGTAAGGCAGGGTGGGAAAACACGAGCTCTGTTCTTGTCTGAATGGCTTTGAGTGCTCAGTGCTCCAAGGCAGTGATTCTGCCCCAGGATGGCATTTGAATGGCCCCTTGTCTGGGGGGCTTTCCTTCTGTGACAGTTCTTTCTCCATGACAGAGACATTGCCCGGGGTTACGAGAGGATCCCCATTCCCTGTGTCAATTCCGTGGACAGTGAGCCCTGTCCCAGCAATTACAAATACGTGTCACAGAACTGTGTCACCTCCCCGATGGACATTGACAGGAACATCACTCATTTACAGGTGAGGAATCGTGCTTTCTTCTGTTCTGGGCTCTGCAGTGCTCCTCAGAACAGATTTGGCATTTCAGATGGGAATGTTGAGTCCTGATATTGCCATCCAATTCCAGCTAAGGTTGAGTGTCTTACCTCCAGCTCTTGTTGTAGGAGATGGGATTTTGATTTTCTTCAGTTTTGAGGCTTAAGCTGAGCTCTGTGTTCAGCTGTAGCATTGGCCATCTGGTGCTGCCTGATGTGGCTCCCATTGACCCTTGTCCTCTCTTCTGGGGCTGCAGAGTCAGGGATTTGTTGGGAGACCTTCCCCATGATGCCTTCCCATGGACTGCAGCAGCCAGGCCGAGGTCTTGGCTGTGATCCTGCAGTCCTGGAAGGGCTGGGTGGGAAAGCAGAGAAAGTTCAGGGTGAGGGTGAGGCCACAGCTCTAGGGTGGCTGAAGTGACCTTTCCTGGGCCGGTCCCTGCTGTGGCAGGGCTGTGCTGGCTTGGGGATGCTGCGGAAGCATCAGCTGGAGTGGGAAGCCCCAGGGGAGGACTGAGACAGCACAGCTGCATCATTTCCCAGCTCTGGTCCCTCCTTGGAGCTTTCCTTGTCATCAGGTGTGGAGAACAGCTCACAGGGCATGGGGGGAGGGTTACAACAGGGTTACAACACCCTGCCCTGAGCAGTGAGGCTGCCTCAGAATGAGATCCTTTGTGCAAGGCAGAGTCCTTTGGTGCTCATTGCACACAGAAATAAACAATGGAGTAGAACTGGCACTGACTGGTGAAGCTGGTGATCCCTCTGGCCCAGGAGCTGCAGCAGGAGGAGGAGATGTGGTTTCCTGAGCCAGTCACCAGTTGCAGTCTCAGTTGTGTGAGTGGTGTGGAATTAACCCTTTGCTTCTCTTGCAGTATTGTGTCTGTATAGACGACTGCTCCTCCAGTAACTGCATGTGTGGCCAGCTCAGCATGCGCTGCTGGTACGACAAGGTGAGGACACACAGCCCCCTCCTGGCTCACACCAGGGCCTGGGAGCTGAATTTTGCCTAATTCAGTTCCTTGCACAACTCAAAGCCAGGTTGGACAGGGCTTGGAGCAACCCTGCTCCAGTGGGAGATGTCCATACCCATGGAAGGGGTTGGGATGAGCTGAGCTTTAAGGCCCCTTCCACCCCAAACTATTCCCTGCTTCTGTAATTCCAGCTCCTTTCTTCTTGACTTAAAATGCCTGAAGTTATAGTCTCAGCTCTGAGACGTGATAATCCAAACTGCCTGCTCAGGGCAGCTTTTCTTGTGTTATTTATTTGTGTTCCTCTCATGCCAACTGAGCCTTTAATTGCATCCATGTGATAGGGAGCATTTAATAATCCAAGCGTGAAATCAGCTTCCATTTCAGAGCAACGTGGAAAGTGCTGTAAGATGTAAACAAAGGGAGGGGAGTAGAAAGAGAAATTTTTTTATCTGCTTTTATTTATTGTGATTCTTCTGGATGAAGGCAGAGTAAAGATGTTTTCACTGCCACGTTGGCAGAAGTCAGGTTTGTTTTGGGCAAATGCTTCCAGTCTCCAGGGAGGTTTTGAGATTAGTCTTTGGACAGGTGCTACAAAGATGAGAAGTTCTGTGAATCTCTGCAAGTTTCTCCCAGGAGGAGTGTTGGTATCTTTCTTGGCTTTGTAGCCGTTTTATTTACACATTAATAGGTGATTACACCTCTCAAGCCTTAAAAGCCAAATTGTTAAATATGATAAATTGTATCCATCACTTCCTTAACCCTTTATGTTGATAAATAACTGAGTTGAAGGTTTTTTTGGGAGTGTTATTTAGGAAGGTAGTGTGATTCACAGAACTTGGGTGTACTGGCCTTGGACTCTGCAAGTTCAGGCTTTATTCCAGAGGCAGACTAGGCATCCACTCTCCCCTCCAGCACAGCAAATGGCAATAATGATGATGATGCACACCAGTTTTCTGCACAGCACTAGGAGTGTTTTTTTAAATGCTGTGTAGGGTGATGGCAGGCAGCAAAAATTGAAATTCTCTGGCTGTTTGTCAGCTGTGGGTGACAGTGGTGACTGTGCTGCTGTCAGGGTAGAGCAAAACCCCTGCAGAAGCTGAGCTCTGACACTGGTTTGGGGAGCCTGGGGCATGACTTCACCTGGGGCTCTCTGGCCTGTTTTTACCCCGGGGGGAATTTCTGCCTGTGGTTTTGGGGATCCCAGGAGCAGACAAATAACCCAATCTGGGGTGGTTCTCTCCTTCAGGATGGCCGACTCCTGCCTGAGTTCAACATGGCTGAGCCCCCCCTGATCTTCGAGTGCAACCACGCGTGCTCGTGCTGGAGAACCTGCAGGAACCGCGTGGTGCAGAACGGCCTCAGGTGGGCAGGAGGGGCAAACACAGCTGCTCTGAAACGTCTGTACCCCAAACCCATGAGCCTTCTGCCTCTCAGCTCCCCCATAATCCCACAAAACCCAGCATGGAGGCTGGAGCTGGTGGGATGGAAGTGGGTTCCTGCATGCTGCCAGTGGGAATGGAGCAGCAGTGGGTTGATGAGCTCAATTAACATCTCAGTTAATATCTGCAGCCTGCCCGTGGCACCATCAGGTGGGAACTGCAGTGTTCTTTCATCAGCTGACCATAAAACACACAAATGGCTTGTGGGTTTGCATGCACAGCCCAAGTGTGTCTCAGGGGGAGAGCTGAGAAGGACATGACAGCAACAGAGCAGCAGAGTCTGAATTCAGAAGATCTTGTAAGCCAGTACTCTAGATTAGAAATACAGGCCAGCATGCCCAGACTTGGCTGCTTAAAATTTACAAGTTCTTGGCATGATTCCCACTGAATTGGATACCTGAATGCCTGTTGGCCTTGCTGCTCCAGGTTAGACTGCTGGGATTTTGGTGTCAATGTTTTGGTTTGGACCTCTGCTATGGAGGAGTTTGCCACTGCACTAAATTCAAAGGGATCCCACTGGAAAAAAGACCCAATTTTTTAGAATTTCTTTGTAGTGCTGACAACACTCTTTTTGCAAGCTTTGTAGTTGCAATGACATTTTGCACTGTTAAAAATAAGCAAGGAAGAAACTTGATGTGTTTCTTCAGAACTTTACCTCTCTCTGGTTTTCCCTGCCAAGCTCCGGTGCCTCCGTGGGTGTTTCTTCAGGAGCTGTACAGCTAGAGCTGTTGCTTTTGCATTTTTTGCCTTGCTGAAGTTTTTTTTTTTTTTCTGAAAGATGGGAAGGGTTGGGAACCCAACATGAGCTGAGGAGAGCAGCTCTGCTGGGAAGGAGGGTCAGGTGCTGGGCAGAGCTCGTGGTCCCTGGGGTGGCAGTGGAGAAGGCTCCTGCCTTGGGGCTGCAGCTGACACAGGGGTGCTGCTGCTCCATTTTCAGTACTTCCTTTATCAGACTGGCTCCAGATTAACTCTGCCTGGCAGAGCACACCTATCCAGCTGGCAGCCTGGCCCAGCTCAGCTGGCAGGCTCAGCTCAGAGCCACGGCCCCACTGCCGCCAGATCTGAGCTGGGCTCTGCTCTGATGGACAAGCCAAAATCTGGGGGACTTCCCCAAGCCCCAAACCCAGTGTTAGACCCTGCTTCTCTGGGAGCAATCACTCCCCTGAGGTCGTGGTTTGTCCTGGTGAAGCTGTGGGCAAACAGGATAAAATTCACATCCCTTGGTTTGAGCTGACAGTGCAGGAGGGAGTGGGTGGGGGAAGAGAAGTACTGGGAAAAGCAACAGGGTGAAGTTAAGGTGAGCATCAGATTTCACTTAATTCCGATAACAGCGTTGCTGAGAGTGGGTTTTGGTTCCCTCGGGGATAGAACAAGCTTTTCCTAGCCCTGGAGACTGTTCATCCTGCACTTAATTCAGGTTCTGGCTGAGCATGAGGCAGAATGACTTACAGGATTGTTTCTCTGCCTATAAGCCCCATCAGTAAAATACCAGAGAGCAGCTATTACACCAAGAAGTCTCAAGTTGCAGCTTTTCTTTCTTGTCTTTCAGCCAGGCAGCTGGATATGATGGAATTGCTGAATGCCCTGGCTTTGGCAGAGGGCAGAGGGGTCAGAGCACTTAGCTCAAGGTGTTCTTTGGTCCCTGGGAGATCCTTGCCTATCTCCTCAGCACCACTCCACTGCTGTAAATCCCCTTCCACCTTCCCTGCTTCTGCCAGGGCTGTGTGGAGGGGAAGAAAATGCTGCTGGTGGGATCTTGATATCCTCTGTAAATCATCATCACACAGAGCATCCACCCTGTCCCCTCTTCCCCAGCCCCTTGGTGTGCACCTGGGCAGGCAGAAGGGGCTGACTGGCACTTGTCCCTTGTCCCTGGGCTGTTTCCATGCCAGCATCTGCCCACAGCTGGGAGCTGTGGGAGTGGAGCATCCCTGCAGGGTGAGAACGGGAGGGTGAATATTAAAATCCTCTGGGAGCGTGTGCTGATGGAAGGTGCTGGCTTTTTTTGCTCATCTCTCCATGAAAATTCATTCTTCCCATGGAGTGCTCATCAGTGTGGCTTAATTTCCTCTTTTCCTCTTTTCCAGGACTCGGTTGCAGCTTTACAGGACACAAAAGATGGGCTGGGGAGTGCGGACGATGCAGGACATTCCTCTGGGAACCTTCGTCTGCGAGTAAGTTGTGCAGCTTTCAGCAGCCCAGCAGCCCAGCACTTCCCAAATCCTGCACTGAATTGTACAGCTTCCATTATCCATTCCCAAACCCAGGAGTAAGTTGTGCAGCCTTCACCAGCCCAGCAGCCCCAGCACTTCCCAAATCCAGCTGTGAGCAAGTTGTGCAGCTTTCACCAGCCCAGCAGCCCCAGCACTTCCCAAATCCAGCACTGAATTGTGCAGCTTCCATCATCCATTCCCAAACCCAGGAGTAAAGAGTTCAGCTTTCACCATCCTAGCAACCCAGCACTTCCCAAATCCAGGAGTAAGTTGTGCAGCTTCCATCATCCCAGCAACCCCAGCACTTCCCCAGGGCACACATGGTTTGCTCCCCTTCAAGGAGAGGTTTTCATGCAAATCAAGTTGGCATTGAAGTTTCCTGACTCCATTTCCTGCTGTGTGTCCTTCTTTTCATAGTGTGGAGCTTTCTCCATTGCCCTCTGTTTTGCTGGGATCTGTGCTCAGCTCTTCCCCCTTTGAAACACAAGTGATGGGGGAAAAACACTTTTGAGTTTTGCTGCAAAATGTGCTCAACTCCTGTGTTTGCCACAGATATGGGACACTGCAGGCCAGGGCAGTGTGGAACAACTTTCTCTACTTCAGTCCTGACTTCTTCAGAGGTTTTCCAGTGTCACAGCTCTGGCTTTAGTCTGATTCAGCAAAACAAGGAAGCACTTGGGGTGAAGCACATGTTTTGGCCCTGACTCAATAAAGTACTTAGGCACAGAAATGTTCAGATTTATGTCAAGTGAAAAACCTGTCATCAGACCCCACAGTTTGAGGTTCAAGTCGTATATGTACTTTATTAAATAGTTTGGAAAGTGTTTCCTTCATTGCAATATTACAGTGACTGAGCATCTACTAAATAAGGCTGCACTCATGTCCATCGTGGAAATGGGTGCTGGTGGTTTTTAGAACTAGTTATTGATGTGTTATGGAATTGGGTGGGGGATTGAGGAAGATTATTGCAGTATTTAAAACTAAAAATAAAGAAAAAGATAATTCTGCAGTGAATTGGCCAAGTATTTCTTCTGTGTCAGGAGCTGCCAGCTGCTAAAATATTTTTTTAGAGATAAAGCCAAAAGCTGCTGTCTCTGGGGCCTGTCCTTATGCAGGGCTGTCCCTAAGTGCCACAGGTCCCAGAGCTGTGGTGCAGTGCCAGGAACAGGCCAGAGCCTGTGGGTTACCTGCTGCCAAGGAAAAAAGGCAGTGGCTTCCCCAAGCACACAGCAGGAACAGGCAGTGAGGGGCAGCCCAGGGAAGGTGTGATGGACACAGACACTGCAGAGCACGTGGGGCTGATGGGGTGCAGATCCCCCAGCCTGGCTGCCCCCAGCCTTGCCAGGAGCTGCTGGCACTGCTTCACTGCTGGGTACTATCGTCATTAGCTAAATGAGCTGCTTACTAAACAGCTGAGCTAATTAATGTCCTGCCTATGCACATTCCTGCTCTGTCACACACTCATTTTCTCACTCATCAAATCCAAGCCCTTTGCTCCATGAGTCCTTCCTGTGATTCTCTATGAGCATCCCATAGATCTGGTTCCTTCCTTTCCTGCTCTCTGGAAAGCAGCCTCAGTGCTGGCAGTGCTTGGGGCTGCCAGGACACAGCAGATCCCAGGATCAGCTGCTCTGGAAGAGCATTTTGGGTTAAACATTTGGATTAGAGCCCTGGGTGGGCTGTTGCTGTGTCCTGTGGTTATTGCTCTGCTTTGGAAGGATGATTGTATTGGTGTGACCTTTATCTTGTAACTCTTCACAGGCACCAGGAGGGGCTGAGGGAGCTGGAAAGGGGCTCAGCCTGGAGCAAAGGAGGCTCAGGGGGACCTTGTGGCTTTGCACAACTCCTGACAGGAGGGGACAGCCAGGGGGGTTGGGCTCTGCTCCCAGGGAATCAGTGAAAGGACAAGGAAAAATGGCCTCAAGTTGCACCAGGGGAGCTTCAGATCAGAGATGTGAAAATGGCTTTTTGCTGAAGGAGTGGCCAGGCATTGGAATGAGTCCCCCAGGGAGGTGTTGGAGTCACCACCTCTGGAAGTGTTCAAAAGGCATCTGGATGTGGCAGCTGGGGACGTGCTCTGGGGTGATGTTGGTGGTGCTGGGTTCATGACTGGACTCAATGGTCCTGAAGGTCTCTCCCAACCTTGTTGATTCTGTGACTCTGTAGCTGCCTCCTGTCCCTTCTGCACAGCCCAGCTTGGCGAGGGTGATGCCTCAGGTTTGAGCTTTTCTATTTTTCACATTCTGTGCTGCTTTAGTCTATGGGTCTGGGCTTCATATGAGGGGATGGTGAGCTCTGCACAGAGCAGGGAGACAAAAAATTCCTGCTCCAGCTGGGCACCAAGGACAAATGATCCAAATCTCAGCCCAGGAGCACAAACACCGTGGGCTGGAGAGAGAAAAACAAGCAGGGTGGGACTGCCTGGGCTAAAGCTGGAATGGGACAATGAACTCCAAGGTGCCAATGGAGCAGAACTGATCCCAGGGAGAGCCCCCAGGAGCGCTCGTGCATTTTGGGACCATTTTGGTTCATTTGGGTGCAGCCCTGGCTGGGCTCTGGTGCTGCCCAAGGTTGACCCATGGAGGCCTTTGAATAAATCCCTGCTTTATTCTTTAGCTCTGTGCAGCCTCTGTTCCAGAGCAGCCCTCACAAGGCATCAAGGGGAGGTGTGACAGTGACACCCTCCTGTCCCACAGGGCTCCCATGGAGCCTCCAGGCTCTGCCACAGCCCCTCAGGGCTGTGCTCGTGGGCAGGTTTCTCCCTGGCCTCAGAATTTGGTGCTGTTCAGAAGCTGCTGTTGCTCACCCTGTGCTGCTGCTGCTGTGGGTTGGGTTGAATCTGTTCTGTTCATGCTTGGTTGGTTGGTAGGTGGTGGAGCTGCTCCTTGTGCAAACAGCACAGCTGCTGCTGACTTTTGTTGGAGAGGCTGGGAATTAGTGGGATGCAGAAACCAGAGGATCTGGTCTGTTCCTTTTGCATCCATTTATGGTTTTTGAATATTTGCTTTCTGTTCCAGTGGTGCTTTGGAAGGTACCAGCTGCATCAAGCCAGGTGTTTGTCTCCAGGCAGAGAAGCCCCAGGTCTCCCACATCCTGTGGCAAACACTGGAGCCTGTGCTAGGGACTGCTCGTTGCTCTTGGTTTTTGCACAAAGTCCCCTCTGATCACAGAATCATTAAGGTTGGAAAAGCCCTCCAAGATCATCTGTCCCAAGCTCACTCGAGTCCAGGCTGTTTGAGCAGGGAATGGCAGCCCTGGGAAGCTCTGGGATGGAGTTATTTGCCATCAGTGTGCTGAACATCCTGCCGGGGAGACAGGCACTGCCTTGACCACAGGAGTTCTTAAATGAAGGGGCTGCTGCTGGTTTTTGGGAGGAACATGCACCTCTAGCACACCCTTCCCTAACTTTGGGCCTGGAAAAGCAGGGACCTGTTAGTGTCTTTGAACAGCCTGGAAAGCAAATGAGTTACAGGAATAGGCTTGAAAGGAGCATTAAACCAACGATTTTTAATTTGATTGTGGTATTTTATTTCATGGAATTACAAACCTGCAGTGGCTGTCCCTGGGCACAGGGCCTCTGAGCAGAATTATTCAGCTGTTCTCAGCTGCTGCTGCCTGCTGGGCCTTTTCACAGCAATTTCTCATCCTCTCTGGCCACCTTTCTATGCTTTAGGCCTCCAAGGAGTGGGTGATTTCCAGTAGTGGAGCAGTGAGGGCAAACAAGAGGCTCCCAGTTGGGAACTACAGCCAAAAATCCCTGGTCACAGAGTGCAGGAATCCTCTCCAGGCTCATGTTTCCTGGCTCTCCTCCTCCCCAGCCTGGGAGTTAAATGCTGCCTTGAGCCCTGGGGGATTGGAGGCAGTTGTTTAACACTTGGAATATGCCTGAGGGCTGCAGGAATGCTGTGAGAGCAACTGCTGGCTATGGAAGTTCTGTTGATGCTGCAAAGAATATTTATCCATGTGGTGAATCCTTTGCTTGAAATAATCACTGTTTCATTGCAGGCTTGGAACACTTACATACCAAAATCACAGAAACACAGACTGGGGTGGGTTGGGAGGGACCTTAAATCCCATCTCTGCCATGGGCTGGGACACCTTCCACTATCCCAGATTGCTCCAAACCCTGGCCTTAGACACTTGACAAACTGCTGTGCTGCTGCTTCTTTCTCACACCCTCCCTCAGTCCCTCCACTCTGAGTCTCTTCCTTTGACTAAAGCAGCTCAGGGCAGGAAGTGTTGAACCTTGACTGTCAGAATCTGAGGTATTGGTGATTCTGAGATTGTAGAAAGTCTCTGTCTGTCAGCCCCGCTGCCAAAGCAGAAGCCATAATTGGTCTGTGCTGGTTTCAAGGTTGTTTATTCTGTTTATCTCTAACATGTTCTGCTGCCCTGCCGCAGCTCTGTCCTGCAGGGCAGCGTGTGGGGCTCTGCCCTCAGTGGGATGGTACAAACATTAAATACCACAAACTACCTGTGCTGGATTTACAATAACGTGCCAATATCTGTCACCTACGTTGGACAGTGTGTCCCCAGCCTGAACCAACAGAAAAATGCCAACACCACAGTGAAACATGGAGGGCATGAAGAAGGAGAAAAAGGACAAGGCACACCCAATTTCCTCCATCTTGTCCCCTTTGGACCCCTAATCTAGAATCCTAAAATTTTACTTTTGCACCCATGCCACACTTAATTATTACTATTATCAAACACTGAGAGCTTGTAATTCATCCTGTAAGATTGAAAACTCTTTTCCATGGCCAGAGATCACAGACAGTGTCTCTGGGGGCTCTGTCCAGGGGGGTTCCTGACCCCTGCCAGGGTCCCAGACCTGCCAGGGCAGCCAGAGGGAAGCCCTGGATTCCCACACTTGACAGTCCAAAACCATTTAAAATGGAAATAGGGAGACAGAGGTGGGAACACCAGTGCTGTGGAACTCCTGCAACAAGGGGGTTTGCATCAAACCCAGCCCTCTCTGGCTGTGAGGTCCTTCTGAGCAAACCCAGGCCGAGCAGCACCTGCCTCATTCTCCTTGGAGGACGTGCCTGTGTTCTGCTTTTACAACAGGGTGGCTGTATCTGGGACCACAGCTCACATTTATCCTGGTTCAGGAGGGATTTAGAAGGGATCCAGGGATCCTGCCAGGTTAGGTTAAACCTAAGACTTATAAACCAAAAATTTTGAAGTTGTGTAGCCTATAATTGCTCAAAATATCCTGGGAAATACATGAGGAGCAGACACAAATGTTTTGTTTTGGGGTGTGAACAGCATGAGTACTGCAGTGGTTGTGGGACAGCCTGAGTCTGACCAGGAACTTCAGGAGACTTGGATTCATGTGTTGATTTTGGCCAACAGAGAGATTTGCAAAAGGAAACTTAGTCCTCAGGAAAAAATAAATCAATTTTAATATTAAATCGGTTTTAATATTATTAATGTAATTTTAAGTATTATTTTAGTGTTGCCCTGAAGAGGTGGAGTTTGGAGCCGGATTCTCACTGCTGGAAGTTAACAGAGCTCAGTTTGGGGGCTTGGAGCTGGCCAGCACTGGGGTTGTGGCTGTCTGTCTGTGCCTGGGCTGCATTTTGGGGTGTTTCTCTGTCCCCAGAAAGAGGTGTTGGAACCTGTGATGACATTGCTGCCTGTCCCTGTGCCCACAGTGTCAGCGTTCCAGAACACACATAGTCACAGGATATGATTATCTGCAGGTGCTTTTATTGAGAGCTCTGGGAGTCAGGGGTACAGACCCAAATCTGACTCCGACACGGCTTTCGAGCTGAACATATTTTATATTCTATCGTTATGTAATTTACATATTAATTATTAAACTGATATTGTTCTACTGTATACATTGACATGAGTTTCTTGTGATCTTTCTTAGGCCCCTGACCACAGTTTCTCATGATTATTCTTATGATTAAACAATAATTATATTTAATTACTAAACAATCATCACATCTAACAATTATTTATCATGTACTAGCTACACAGGTGCAGTTCTAGCAAGTACAAGTTCTTCATGTGCTTAGGGTGTTTATTTTTCCAGGGCCTACTAAGCTTATTTTTCCTGTTAACCCTAAAATCCCCATGATTTTAAAACCCTTTTACTATCACCAGGTACGTTGGGGAGCTGATCTCCGACTCCGAGGCCGATGTCCGGGAGGAGGACTCCTACCTCTTCGACCTGGACAACAAGGTACGTGTCTGCAGTGTCCAACCAGACAAACCCCAGGTCCTGACTCCTCCAAAGAGCCCAGAGGATGATTGTCTCCATCTTGATGTGCAGCAAAACCCTGCAGAGAGCACAGTTGCTGTGCTTTAGTGGAAAGGTGGTTGAGGTGAGAGTTAGGGCTGCTTAAAAGGGCAGCAGAACCAACATGTGCTGCCCACACCACTTTTGAGCAAAATGCTCTTCTGTCCAACCCCTTGGAGCATCCTGAGGTCAGTTATCCAGATTTATTATCCCAACCTGGCACCTGTGTGATTGGCAGCTCTGTGAGTTCTTCATGAAGTGATGATGAGCTGAAAGATTTAAAAAAAAACCCCAACAAACCCTGTTCACTCAGGAAGGATCCATCAGGCACCCTGGCAGGGGCTTGTTCTGCTGTTTGTTCCCCTGCTCTGCTCTGTGAGGGCTCTCAGGGCAGAAATTTTGATTTGCAAAGTACAATCTCAAAGTTTTAAGCAAGGGCATGACTTCAGGCTCCCTCTGGGAAAGGAGAAGTGAGAAAAAGTGAGCTGGGGACTCACAGGAGTGGGGAGGCTTCCAAGGAAGGCTGTAAAACACTCTGTGCCTTGTTTCTGTCATCAGCTTGTGACGAAGAAGCTTTGATTTATTTTTTTTCCTCTTATTTTTTTAAAGCAACACACATTTCAAGAGCTGAGAAAAGATAAATAACGAGTCTGGTATGCAAACAGGGGGTCAGACTGTAACTAAGAAGTTGAATAGGACTTTAGCCTGGTTTATCAGCAAGAGCCCACCTGGGCCTTGCCCTGCCTCTTCCTTAGTCCTGACTGGCAGCCCTGAGGGAGAACCTCTGTGCTGGCTCCTGGGAATCCTTCAGGGAAGCAGGAAGGGAGACCAAGGTGGAGCATCTGGAGAAAAGCAGGCACCAAATCATTGGGGCTGGTTAAAGCTGCCCATCAGGCTGGGCAGAGAGGGGCAGGGCAGAGGCAGCAGGTTTTGTGTCCTCCAGAGTGATGGGGCATTGCAAGGTTGTGAATCCCAACCCTGGGGGCCTCGAGGTCCTGGTGTGTCTTGGCTTGAGTGGACTTGTGCTGTGGTGAGAGTGGCTGGGCTGTCATTTCTGTTATCTGGGTTGTCATTTCTGTTATCTGGGTTGTCATTTCTGTTATCTGGGTTGCCATTTCTCTTGTCTGGGTTTTGGTTTCTGTTGTCCCTGTCTCTTAAATTGTGGCTCACAGCCCCGTGTGAGGTGATCCTGGAGTGTCCCAGGTCCTGCTGTGGGTGTGGGTGCTGTCATCCTGCCCCACCGTGGCATTTCTGTGGATGAAACTGAGGGAGTGAAATCACTGATTTATGAAATCAGAGCTGGTGGCACCATGTGTGCTCGAGGCCCTTGGGGTGATGCCTCCCCCAATTCTGGGGATGTTTTCCTGGGCTCCTGCACCCCCGAGTGTGACCTGGCACAGCACATCCATTAACGATCCGAGGTGCTTGTCCAAAAGGGACTTGGAGCACCACTAATGGATCCTTTTGCTTTTGGCCTCTTTGCAACTGAAATTAGCTTCTGTAATTAAAGCCTCTGCTTTGCACAGTCATTCTCTGCTGGAATAAAAAAGCCCTGAGGGGGGTTCTTTTATTTTCAAGGAAAACAAAGTATTACTGCTCTCTGGAAAGGGAATTTTTGTGTTCTCACTTTCACTCTTATCTGCAAAACCCTGTGTTTTCTCAAGGCTCTGGCTTTGTGTTTCCGAGCTGTCATGTTCAATTAGAGGACAGAACAGATGCCTGTTCCCCTGTCCAGGGGCTGGTACCAGTAAGGTGCCTGCACTGAGCATCAACCCCATTGTGCCAAACTGGTGCTTGGACTGGGAGAACTGGTGGGCCAGAGTGTTAAAAAACAGCTCTTGGGGTGTGTGGGGTCAGAGTGCTGTGCAGTAAACTCTGGTTTCAGGGTACTTTGTAATATAAATTGCATATAGAAGTCTGTGTGTGTGTTTTCAGTCCTTTCACACCCACAGTGAGTGCCCTGCCCAGCGCTGATGCAGAGAGCAGCAGCCTGCTCATTCATTTAGGGCAATAAACCCCGAGGCAGCGTGCCTAACGAGCGCTGCCCCGTGTCTCCCCAGGATGGAGAGGTTTACTGCATCGATGCCCGCTTCTACGGCAACATCAGCCGCTTCATCAACCACCTGTGCGAGCCCAACCTCATCCCCGTGCGCGTCTTCATGTCCCACCAGGACCTGCGCTTCCCCCGCATCGCCTTCTTCAGCACCAGGCACATAGAGGCTGGAGAGGAGATCGGGTACGTGCCACCCTGCCTCTGCCAGGCACGCAGAGAGAGAGCTCTGCTGCTCCCCAGCTGGGCCACTCCATCCCTTTCCCCCAGGGCTTTGTCCCCAGGGTCCCTCGGGGTCCCTCGGAAGTTTGCAGAGCTCCGGGATCAACCTGGCCGTGTCCACTCCCAGCCCTGAGCCCCCTGCCCTGGGCTGAGCCCAGCCTGGGCAGTAGAGGAGGGGGGATTGTGCCCCTGTGCTCAGGTGAGGCCCCACCTGCAGAGCTGCCCCAGCCCTGGGGAACATCAGGAGGAGCTGGAGCTGCTGGAGAGAGTCCAGAGGGGCCACGGAGCTGCTCCAGGGCTGGGGCCAGGCTGGGAGAGCTGGGGGTGCTCACCTGGAGAGGAGAAGCTCCAGGGAGAGCTCAGAGCCCTTCCAGCGCCTAAAGGGGCCCCAGGAGAGCTGGAGAGGGACTGGGGACAAGGGATGGAGGGACAGGACACAGGGAATGGCTCCCACTGCCAGAGGGCAGGATGGATGGGATCAGATAAAAGAAGAAGTCTTCTGCCATGAGGGCAGTGAGGCCCAGAGAAGCTGTGGCTGCCCGTGGATCCCTGGAGCTGTCCAAGGCCAGGCTGGATGTGGCTCTAATGGAAGGTGTCCCTGCCCATGGAACAGGATAATCTTTGAGGCTGCTCCAACCCAAACCATCCCGGGGTTCTCTTGAGGTGTCCTGCTCACTGACCCCTCCTGTCTCTCTCTTGCAGCTTCGACTACGGGGACAGGTTCTGGGACATCAAAGGCAAATTCTTCAGCTGTCAGTGCGGTTCACCCAAGTGCAAACACTCGAGCTCGGCGCTGGCCCAGCGGCAGGCGGGCACCTCTGCCCAGGACACGCAGGAGAACGGGCTCCCCGACACCAGCTCCGCTGCCGCCGCCGGCCCCTTCTGACCCTGACCCCTCACATCCCCAGAGACACACCTACTCTCGGAATTTCCACTTACAGAGCAAGAACAGAGAGAAAAAATAGCGACACAAAACCACACGGAAAATGAAAAAAAAAAAAGAAAAAAAAAAAGAAAGAAAAAAAAACCCCGCTCAAGGAAAGCCAAGGGTTGTGACACTTAGGGCTGTGCCACCGACTGTTACTTGAGGAAGGAGTGAAAGCAAATCCCACCTCCGTGATGTTGTTCTCCCCTCCCTGCTCCTGGAAAGCTGCTGGGTTTCACAGCTGTGTGTGTGTGCAGGGGTGGCTGTTGCATTTTTTTTTGCCACCCGAGCTGTCCTGGCCTCCTCTCTGAACGTGCTGAGTGTTGTCAGAGGCAGGGAGAGCCGCCCGTCCTCGGAATGTCGCTGTGTGCTGGATCCCTCCCACCCACTCACCCCCAGCTCAGCCACAATAAACTCTGGATACTTGATGGGACTTCCTTTCTGGGAGGGAGCTGGCTCTGGGTTTGCTTGGCACAGCCCCAGGGCAGGTTGTGCTGGTTGGTTTTTTGTTGGTTTGGTTGGTTTTTTGGTTGGTTGGTTGGTTTTTTGTTTGTTTTTGTTTTTTTTTTTTAAATATATGAATTAATAATTCCTCCCCCATCTCGCAGGACGTTGTGGTGGGGCCCTACAATTACCCTCAATTCTCTCCAAACCCCACGGCTTTTTTCTCATCTGATGAGAAGAATCCCAGAATCTTTCCAGTCCCTGTGATCCGTGGCTCTCTCCCTCCTGGATTTTCTCCATTCAAACCAGCTCTGGTCCACGCCCTGCTCCTGTCTCAGTGTTGGGTTCCTCCGTGAAGGAACTCCCCTCACCCCATCCCATGAGTGGTTTTAGAGAAAGAAGGCTGAAGAGGATTTTACAAGACACTAATTCCTAAAGAAAACCAGTTTCCCCCCTCCTTTTTTTAAAGATAAAATGAATGATATATATATTATAGAGGACCTGGACTGGCTGGGGTGGACAGACGTGTCACGGTGAGAAGATCCCAGATGCCACCAGCTCGTCTATTCCCATCCCTTTGCTCCACGCTGGGCACCTTGGATTGATTTTTAAACCACACGCTATGAGGTTTCAATAAACTGATTTATTTTTTACCATTATTGAAACATCGGGGACAAGCATTAAAAACATGAGAGAAAAAAAAAAAGCTTAAAAAAAACCCACAAAAAACAACAAAACCCACAAAAAAACCAAAAAAACCAAAACGACAACAAAAAGAAACCACAAAACAAAACGGTGCTGATTCTGGTGTGATTTTTGCTCACCACGTGAATATAAACTTATCAATTGTATAAAAAGAACAAAGTGATTTTAGTATAAAAATGCAGGAAAAAAAACAAAACTTTTTTTAAATTGTTAGTATTGTAGTGTGAATAAATTTGCCATCACCTTTTGTGTGGTGGCTGGGCAGGTCATTATCTTAATTTTTTTTTTTTTGCATATATCTTTAAATACTGTAATTAGTGCAGTAACAAGTTTTTTTTTTTTTGTTCATCTCTTCTAGAACATTCATAATGCCATCATGTTTATTATTATTATTTTTTTCTGTTAATGTTTTTGACAGTTTTAAAGGGGCAGCCTTTTGGCTCTGATCATTTTCTTGTTCTGTTTTCAATGAAATCAATAAAAAAATGAAAAAAAAAACGTTCTTTAAAAGGAGTTTGGCTTTTTTTTGTCTGCTTTGGGGGAAGGATAGCTCAGGGTGGGGCTGAACTGCTCCTTGGTGGGCTTGAAAATGAAGAAAGCAACAAAAAAAAAGGAACCTCAGTGAGTGACTTTGCCATTCATTCTGGGGGTTTGGGGTTGTTTTTTAAAATTTTGTTATTAAAAGTTTGGGAGCCTGAATTCCAGTCAGTGGATGGGCAGCATTGAGGTTTGGGGATCTTGGGATGTCTCCCCACCCCTTACCAGTGGAGAAATAAAATAAAATAAAATTAAAGCTAGCAAGGAGGGAGGTGAGGGGGAGAATCTGCCTGGAGCAATCCCTGGGGATGCTCCAGCATGGAGCTCTGGGGGTTTGGCTCTGCCAGGGGCTGAGCAGAGCCCTCCATGGCACTGGGGACAGAAAGCTCTGAGGCACTGCCAGCCAAAATCCCAGAAAAATATTCCTAAAGGGTTAAAAGGTTTCTAAAGGGTTAAATTATTCCTAAAGGGTTAAAATATTCCTAAAAGGTTAAAATATTCCTAAAGGCCCAGCCCACCCGATGCCAGCCGGGATGGGAAGGACATGAGGGACCTCATCACCCTCCCAGACTGGGCAGGTGGTGAATAAACTGTGGTGTCTGTGGGCTGGGTTGGGTTGGTTTGGTGAGAAATGATGGATTTTGCTGCTGGAATTGTGACAGATTCCCCCACCTCCCAGAGCTGTGGGGACATGAGGGCCCTCAAAGGCACCCCTGACCCCTCACAGCTCCAGATCCTTTAACCACGGGTTAATTACAATATACAGTTCACAGCTGCATAATGAAACATTGTCATTAAAAGAATGGGCTTTAATTGAAAAGGAGAAGTGGAAAACCCCCAGAGAAATCTGATTTCTGGGCCTGACTTCCCCAAAGTCAGCATTTCCCTGAGGTGGATGGAGGGTGGGGCACACATGAGGCTTTGGGGTCACACCAGGGTGGGACCTGGTGGGAGTCACACACAGCCCCAGTGACCCCCAGCACTTCTGGGGGATTCCTTTGCTTTTCTGTGCAAATAATTGCAAATAATTAAATAAACACAGTTTGTATCCCAGCACTTTTCCAGCATTAAGGATGAGCTGGCAAGGGGGTGTTTATTTTAACAGGCATTTCTGCAATGCCAGCAGGCCCCAGCTCAGGGACAGGGGAGGCCAAAAGGTTCCCCCCAAAAAAAATCTGCTATGGATTTGAGGGGTCAGGAGCCAGGAAATGTGGGCAAAGCCGCCTCAGCCACACTGCTGACCCCACTCAACTGGTGGCAGTGGCTTGTTGGGACACCTCATTTGAAGGATGCACCAATTTCAATGTGAATATTTTGCCCTGGAGCAAAATTAATTTAACATGAATACTTTTCCCTGACTGCTCCGAGCTCGGCCTGGCTGCCCAAGCTGGTTTTTATTTTTTTCCTTCCCTTTTAACACACTGGCAGCAGCTGCTGCAGGCTCTGGGGCAGCAGGACTTGCTTTGCTCGTGGCTCCAGACTTTGCTTTTCCTTTTGAGCCGCCTCCCCTCAGCTCTGCCGAAGATGCAAAGATCCTTCAATCACCACTTGGCTTTTTCCTGGGGATTTTGGCGTCTTTGTGGTGTCCCCATGGTCCCGCAGCTGTCCCAGGGAGTGGGACCATGGTTGGATGCTGGATCTGAGTGGGGTGTGGGGGAACATCCCACAGCATCCCCCACTCATCCCTGTGGCTGCAGGGAGGGTTTTGGGGCAAAGCCCTCATTACAGAGGGCTTGGAGGAGCAGCCACTCTCCTTCCTTTTCCATGGAACATCCCTGCTCCTTCTCTTCTCCCTGGGACATCCCTGCTCATTCTCTTCTCTCTGGGACATCCCTGCTCCTTCTCTTCTCCCTGGGACATCCCTGCTCCTTCTCCCTGGGACATCCCTGCTGCTTTCCTTCTCTCTGGGACATCCCTGCTCCTTCTCTTCTCCTTGGGACATCCCTGCTCCTTCTCTTCTCCCCTGGGACATCCCTGCTCCTTCTCTGTGGGACATCCCTGCTCCTTCTCTTCTCTCTGGGACATCCCTGCTCCTTTCCTTCTTTCTGGGACATCCCTGCTCCTTCTCTTCTCCTTGGGACATCCCTGCTCCTTCTCTTCTCCCCTGGGACATCCCTGCTCCTTCTCCTTGGGACATCCCTGCTCCTTCTCTTCTCCCCTGGGACATCCCTGCTCCCCTTCACCTCCCTGGGACATCCCTGCTCCTTCTCTTCTCCCACCCTGCAGGATGGGGTGTGAGGGCCCTTTTTGGGGTTCTGCCCCACCCTCACAGCTCGGGGGGCACTGAGGGATGGGGTCACTCACCACAGGAGTGGCAGCTGATGGTTTGGGGGTCTCAGGCTCCTCCAGGCACGGCTCCCTGCCCCCTGCACCCCACCAGAGCTACAAGGGAGCAGCACCCGGGCTCTGTCCCCTGCTCCCTGAGGGTCTCCTGCTCCAGGGCTCCCAGGGATGGGAATGGAGGGGTCAGATCCAGCTCTGTGGGCTCACAGGGCACTGCAAACCCTCTGCACACTGAGTTGAGGAGTTGTCCTGGCTCATGATGGACAGGGGGTGTTAGAAAAGCACCCAAAGGCAGCATCCATCACCCTGGGCTGACCTGGGCAAGCAAAACCATAAAATTATCCTGGATACTGGAGCTAATCTGGTATCTCCTTATAGACTCCTTCCCTCTCTTTGTGCTGCCGTGACCTCCTGTGATGAGGAAATATGAGCGAGGCTGATGGTTATCCTGCAGCCCAGGTAAGAGTTATAAAATCCCTATAAATGTGGAATTTCACCCCATGTCTCATTTCTGAGTCTGTGCCAGAGCTGGAAGAAATATTCCTTTATCTCCCTGCTAGCACAGAATATTCCCTTGTCTGCTGAAGGGGCTCCCTTATCACCCTTTTAATTTCCTTTCTGCTGCTCCATGCAGGATGAAAAGCCTCTGCTGCTGTCACTGGAGGAAGGGCAAGGCCTGTGGGAGAGAGAACCAGCCCGAGGTTCAAGTTTAAGGCTGCAGGAGGGGTGGCAGTGATGAGGGGACAGGAGCTGGTGCCAGGGGAGGTCAGGCTCAGCCTCCCTGTCCTTTCCTCAGGCCCAGAAATGGCCTGAATGCCCAGAAAAAGCAAATATTGCTGGGTGCTGCCTGTGGGGAACAGTGTGCTTCACTTGGGAAGGGGAGGCTGGACAAGCTCAGCCCCACCCCTGAGTTTTTGCTCATCTCTGCCTTTTAATCTCTGTTTAACCAATGTGAGAGTCATTAAAGAGGGCTCAGCCCCTCAGGACCGGGTTAAGGAGCTT